CGTGAATCTGGAGTCGTTCATGGCGGTCTGTATCAATTATTATCCACATTTTTCACTGTTTTACGGACAGATGTTAGCCTGCAGAGATCGAAAAAAAAAATCCTTGACCAGCAAATATTTATTGGTAATACATTTCAATATTTCTTCGGTCAGGTGATCAAGACTTCTTATTCGGTGTATAATCTGCTCAAATAAGGATCATTACACGATGTGTACAGCGCGCTTGGAATATTTGAACGGAGAAACAGTCATCAAACAATTTGTATAAATTATAAGAACAGTTCTTTTCTACAACTAGCAGTAAGTGCAATTTGGAATCGTTATCATTTTAGTAATAAAAAAAAAGATTACCTTTTCTGAATCGTGTTCATATCTCTGTCAAACTTCACTCGCGGGAAGATTCAGAATGAAAACATACAAAAATAAATTAATATTTAATGTGCATGTCTATTAATTTGACTACAAAATTCACGTTGCTTACGTCATTATGTTCATGGCCAACAGATGTATTTGTGAGTTTCCTGCAGTGTTCAAAAAACAGTTCCTTAATACCACGAGTAAGAAATCCAACTTGAAATCAGAAACGTTTAAGTAATAAAAAATAGCATATCTTTTGTAAAACGTCTTCACAACTTCGCCATTCTCCTTCCATCGTGAAATGAGGAATGAGAGCACTATATGTATTTCTGTCACTGACTACCATCCCCTACTCCTTGACTGAAGTCACAGAAATTTTTTATTCTGAGATAGGGAGTTTCCTACCAAAGGGGAAACCAGGAATGTTTCCCTTCTCCGTATCTTTTATACGCATTAAACAGATACTCCGTTCCATCGACTGGGTTCCTTTCAACCCCTAATTTACCAGACAGTTTACAATCGTTCTACATCCCATAGGTCGGAGAAGAGAACTGTGCGACAAAAAGCTGTCTTCACCGTGGACAGCTTATGTATTGTTAAAAAGTCGATTCGCATATGTTGCTAAGTAATTACTGTAATGATACGGCTGGACAGAGGGAACAGCAGCAAAAGACATCCAACTCCTTTATAGATTTCTTCTAACCGTTCAACTTCTTTATGGGAGTTGAAGGGTTAGTAGAAATCGAAATGTCTATACACCCCGAGGTCGTCAGTGCTAGTCGGAGCTGCGTCGAATGAAGACCTGTCACTCGCTTTAAAATAAGAGAATATACTAGTCAATTTTATTCCACGGGGAAGCGAAGATGCAAATGCTACGGTGGACCTTCATGCTCATAACACTGTGCGGATGTCGGCGTCTACCTTTTTGGAACTCAACACCCTGGCGGTACATCTACAGTGCGTACACAGGGACGTGTTTCATAACGACGATTCTCGCCCTTGTCGGTGGGATTCTGGACCTAGCTCTCACTGTTGACAACCGGAACGATCTCACCGAGAATTTGTTCAAAACAATGACCTTCGCTATCGACTGCTTTAAAATGACCAGCATGCTGATGATGAGGGAGAACTTAGAAACACTGATGAACACCCTTCAATCGGCGCCGTTCGCACCTGTGGGCGCCGAGGAGCTGGAAATACAGACGAACTTTGAAAAATCGGCCGAGTGAGTCGCAAAATTCCATGCAGATGTTGGTGCGTCTTAAGGGATTTTTTGTAGACGAATAATATAATCTCTCGCGAAACGGTTCTTAGATGAATGGAGTAGAAAATTTTGATAAAATGATTCTATTATATTATTTTATATGAACTAAATCGATAATTTGTCGATTATCTCCACTGGCAGAGACCGTAAAAATTGTATAATCTAGAAGGTTTGACAGAATTAATTATACAAAGAATTAACTATATTTCACAAGTACAAATACAAGGCAAAGTTAATTCAACTTTTCGCCTAACTGGCTAACAAAAGGCAGAAAAATATCTAACATAGTCAGCAGTGTCTAACTTACAAAATTCTTACTTATCAATTCTTCAATTAAATGATCTAACTAATACTTTGTCGATGAAACGTTATCAAGGAAAATGTTTTACACATTTGCAGGCAAACCGGGAAGGTCTATACGGCCGCCCTTGAGGTTTGGTCAGCATGGACGGTGTTGGTGACGCTGCTGATGAATTTTGCCAGCAGAAAATTACTGTACCGCGTCTGGCTTCCCTTCGAGTATAACTCGGCAACAATATACTCCTTGGTCTACCTGCACCACGCACTAACAACCGTGATCTGCGTAACTGCGGTGGTCGCATATGATACCCTATTCACCGGGCTGATGATACAAATATACTCTCAGTTCGAGATACTCCGGCATCGCCTGCGAAACGTTCACAGGAACGAGAACGATTTAGTCAAACATTGTGCCCGTCATCATGATCACATCTACAAGTTGGTTGTCGTGTTTCGTACCGGAAGAGATTTTAGGCAGCAGATTATTATTATGCTTCAACATATTGATTTGCCAAGACTAATCTGTCCTACTTGCCAACAATTCTTTTTCCTTGAATAAATAAATCATAATAATTAAAAAATAGAAATATGTGAAAAATAATACTAAATAAGATATAATAATAAGCTATAACTAATAAGAGATAAGCTAAGCTAAGCTAATAAGGGATAACTCGTGGTTGGCAGTCAATGTGTTAAATCGCACGTGAACGCTAGAGTTAAGGAACCATACCACGTCCACGAAAATCGTTGCAGGTTCGCTAACATGGTGAACAACGAATTCAGAGCTGTTATGTTCATACAGTTCGTCCAGAGCACCGCCGTTCTGTGCTTCGGCCTCTACCAATTGATGATGTCGGAACTTGACGGCAATCTAGCTGACATTGCCTTTTACATTACTTGTTTGCTTCTTCAGATTTTCTACTTCTGTTGGTTTGGGAACGAGGTCAAGTTGAAGGTTTTCAGTCAATTTCTTCTCGATCCACCCGCTGACCGAATGATCGTCATTCTGCGATCCGTTGATCACTTATTCGATACGCATTTTCTGAGTTCACTACTGTGTAGTGTGTTTCAGTTTGCCTCCAAATAGTGTAACTTGCATTGTAGAAATCCTTCGCGATGTGGTGTGAATTTTTAGTCCAGTCAGCCGGTTCATATCCTCAGAACATGTCCGCAAAGTTTCTCCTTTCAGAGTCTCGAGGTGTCCGACATGATCTTCGAAATCGAATGGACCACGCTGAGCAACAAGACGAAGAAGATGCTTCTGATGATGATGCGTCGGGCTACAGTGCCGATTGAACTCACCAGCCTCCACATCGTCTCCGTCAACATCGAGAGTTTCAAGGCGGTATGTACAAAACTCCTTGCCCGTGCTTCTCGGACACACTTATCGTCCGATTAGCAACCGATAAACGAAGTAACTCGACTGTGTGTTTCTTTGCCGCAGTTGATCAAAACGTCATACTCGGTATTCAATCTGATTCGACAGAACTAATTACGATAGACCGGATGTGGATCATCTGTTGCATTGGATCGGAAACGTTCTTATAATTTAATACACACGGAATCAGTGGTAACGAGGTGGAAAATGTAGTCGAGCAGTACGTTGATGTACTACTAAAAGTATACGCAGTAAATTGTTTGGTCGGAGAAATGTTTGCCTTTGGAAAACCTTCCTTACTGCCATCGAAGCAAACATACAATATCTTGCGTGCTGTCCGGAGGCGTGACTTCGACCGCACCATGCTATTTGAATGAAATATTTTAATTCGGTGCTACATGCGTCATCGGACAATGAAAGCCCATCATCATTATTGCAAGAGCAGGTACTTTTTCACTACCACTTAGCGCAAGTTTTTGAATCGTTTGTTATTTCCACTGGTGCACATTTCCCTCCGTTGATTTTTAGTCGAGCATTGCTGCTACCGACAAGTAAGCGACCGTCACCGCGCTGTTACCGGTGCTCAGTGTAAAATATGTATTTCCCTGTGTGCAGCACAACCAACTACGAAGTATCGTATCCCTTCCATCATTCACTATTAAATACTGTCCCCCTACCTAAGCACACCCCTCCGAGACCCGTGCAAAGGTGCTGCAGAATAAAATACGGGAAAAGTCGAGGAAATGTAGATACTGCAAGGGTTACAATCTTATTTTCGAAATGGCAATTGCGACAATCGCGCGGGTTCCTCGGTAGTTGTCATAATAATATAGCCTGCTAGATCGAAGGGGACCATCGAGAGGAGACTATCAGAGGGTGCTGAAAGAATCCGATAGCCTGTGCTAGTCAGTCGGGTTTCAGTCTCTGTATCGTGAAGTCGTGGTTCTCTCATTTTTTCAAATTCCATTTTGCTCGCAGTATGCTAACGAAAGAAAACATTTGTTCGAGGAAAACGTGCAGCAGAACGTGATTCGTGAATTCGGTGTAAAAAATATTCTGAATAATCGTTATACTTCGTTTTAAGCGAATTCAAATATATAAACATCTTGTAAATGTGATCAATTTTTGAGAGCTAATGAGATAAGATTATATTCGTGATGACAACTACGCTACGAACAACGCTTTTGATACTCACATCGTTAGGTTGTCTAAGGCCATGCACCTGGACATCATCGCTCAAGAAATATTTGTATTCGGTGTACTCGGCCATAATAACCAGTCTCCTGCTGTCTGCATTGCTATCGCATACTCTCGACATAGTATTCAACGTCCAAACTCAGGAAGATCTCAGTGACAATATTATCATCACGGTCTCTGTGGTTGGATGTATATGCAAGATGTACACCTTCTTAGCGAATAGAAACAATATCATGATCCTGATAAGAGCTTTGCGGAGAAAGCCGTTCATGCCTGTGAATGAGGAAGAGATGAACATCAAGATGAGATTCGATAAAATAATCGAGTAAGTACTTTTTAATTATTTTCTAATTTAATATCAAACCGGCACCTACTAAAATTTCGCAAAAATAAAGTAATTTCATGAACTAGTTTCGTTAGCTAGTTCCACATCTTCCCATTTTAACACTTTTAGTACCACATCAACGAGTTCAAAAATATCATAAAAATATTTGATTTGATCAAAATAAAATTGAGAAGTACAGTTTTATGACATGAATTACTTTCTCGAAATCCGTGCTTTCTGCAGATTCTAATAGAATTAAGAAAATATAATACATTAGCGTAAAAAGTAAGTTTCGAATCTGAGCAGACTGTTCTACCGTCTATTTATGGGTGACGCTGCAGTCAAACTGTTGATTTATCGTTTGATGTTGAAAGAACAGAACAATGAATGATTACAGTAAACTGCTTCGTCGAAAATGTAAAATTAAAGTACGGTTTGATATTCTTTGGATCGCAGGGAGAATGCAATTCAATTCATGTGGCTGGTTCAGGCCACCATGATGCTGGTGTGGGTCAGCACACCGGTCATGGAAGCAAAGAACCGAAAATTACCATTTCGCGCATGGATACCGTATAATTATTCCTCTGCGACGCTGTACATGGTGACGTACCTTTATCAATACGTGACTTTGACATTGGATACGATGATGCACATTGATTGTGACTCTCTGTTCAGCGGGTTGTTGATCTGCGTGTATTGTCAGCTGGAGATTCTCAAGCATCGCCTGCAAAATATTAAGAATGACCAGAATAGGTCGGCGAACGTATGCGCTTTCCACCATCATCAGATATACATGTGGGTTTTTCACAGTTTTCAGTGAATCCTAAATCAAGCTTCATGTTATGCACAATTTGAAACAATTTTATTTTCCTTCCATGCAATAATTGTAACCCTGACATAAAAATAAAATTGACGGTAAATGAAATTGATTTTTTAACATATTCCAAAAGTTTGTTGTTCAGATAAGAACATCCTTTCACATTATTTTAAGTTTTCTAGTGCATTACAGCTGCGAATAAAATGAAAATTAATTTTCTACATAAAGAATGCTTCTGTCATTATAAGAATTAAATCATTTGTGAAATAATTGCAGCTACGCTTCAAAGTTGAGCAGAAGCTTTCGCATAATGCTGTGCTATCAACTCGTGGCAACAGTGTCAATGGTCTGCTTCAGCATTTTCCAACTGACGCAGGCGCGACTGAATGGAAAAGCAGTTGAACACGTTATGTTCATGATTTGCGTACTGATACAGCTGTTTTACTACTGTTGGTACGGGAACGAAGTTAGGCGAAAGGTTCATAATCCCAAAAAGATTCGATTCTCTACTTTCGAATATTTTTCAACATGATCTCCTATTTCAGAGCTTGGAAGTCCCTGATATGATCTTCGAAAGCAACTGGATGAATTTAGACAACGAGTCTAAGAAGGTTCTTTTAGTGATTATGCTACGAGGATCATTTCCCATGGAGTTCAAAAGCGCTCATATTATGTCCGTGAATCTGGAGTCGTTCATGGCGGTCTGTATCAATTATTATCCACTTTTTTCACTGTTTTACGGACAGAGTTCGATAAAAAATTAATCCTTGACCAGCAAATATTTATTGGTAATACATTTCAATATTTCTTCGGTCAGGTGATCAAGACTTCTTATTCGGTGTATAATCTGCTCAAATAAGGATCATTACACGATGTGTACAGCGCGCTTGGAATATTTGAACGGAGAAACAGTCATCAAACAATTTGTATAAATTATAAGAATAGTTCTTTTCTACAACTAACAGTAAGTGCAATTTGGAAGCATGATCATTTTAGTAATAAAAAAAAAGATTACCTTTTCTGAAACGTGTTCATATCTCTGTCAACCTTCTCTCGCCGGAAGATTCAGAATGAAAACATCCAAAAATAAATTAATATTTAATGTGCATGACTATTAATTTGACTTCAAAATTCACGTTGCTAACGTCATTATGTTCATGGCCAACAGATGTATCTGTGAGTCTCCTGCAGTGTTCAAAAAACAGTTCCTTAATACCACTAGTAAGAAATCCAACTTGAAATCAGAAACGTTTAAGTAATAAAAAATAGCTTATCTTTTGTAAAACGTCTTCACAACTTCGCCATTCTCCTTCCATCGTGAAATGAGGAATGAGGGCACTATATGTATTTCTGTCACTGACTACCATCCCCTACTCCTTGACTGAAGTCACAGAAATTTTTTATTCTGAGATAGGGAGTTTCCTACCAAAGGGGAAACCAGGAATGTTTCCCTTCTCCGTATCTTTTATACGCATTAAACAGATACTCCGTTCCATCGACTGGGTTTCTTTCAACCCCTAATTTACCAGACAGTTTACAATCGTTCTACATCCCATAGGTCGGAGAAGAGAACTGTGCGACAAAAAGCTGTCTTCACCGTGGACAGCTTATGTATTGTTAAAAAGTCGATCGCATATGTTGCTAAGTAATTACTGTAATGATACGGCTGGACAGAGGGAACAGCAGCAAAAGACATCCAACTCCTTTATAGATTTCTTCTAACCGTTCAACTTCTTTATGGGAGTTGAAGGGTTAGTAGAAATCGAAATGTCGATACACCCCGAGGTCGTCAGTGCTAGTCGGAGCTGCGTCGAAAGAAGACCTGTCACTCGCTTTAAAAAAAGAGAATATACTAGTCAATTTTATTCGACGGGGAAGCGAAGATGCAAGTGCTACGGTGGACCTTCATGCTCATAACACTGTGCGGATGTCGGCGTCTACCTTTTTGGAACTCAACACCCTGGCGGTACATCTACAGTGCGTACACAGGGACGTGTTTCATAACGACGATTCTCGCCCTTGTCGGTGGGATTCTGGACCTAGCTCTCACTGTTGACAACCGGAACGATCTCACCGAGAATTTGTTCAAAACCATGTCCTTCGCTATCGACTGCTTTAAAATGACCAGCATGCTGATCATGAGGGAGAACTTAGGAACACTGATGAACACCCTTCAATCGGCGCCGTTCGCACCTGTGGGCGCCGAGGAGCTGGAAATACAGAAGAACTTTCACAAATCGGCTGAGTGAGTGGCAAAATTCCATGCAGATGTTGGTGCGTCTTAAGGGATTTTTTGTACACGAATAATATAATCTTTCGCGAAACGGTTCTTAGATGAATGGAGTAGAAAATTTTCATAAAATGACTCTATTATATTATTTTATATGAACTAAAGCAATAATTTGTCGATTATCTCCACTGGCAGAGACCGTAAAAATTGTATAATCTAGAAGGTTTGACAGAATTAATTATACAAAGAATTAACTATATTTCACAAGTACAAATACAAGGCAAAGTTAATTCAACTTTTCGCCTAATTGGCTAACAAAAGGCAGAAAAATATCTAACATAGTCAGCAGTGTCTAACTTATAAAATTCTTACTTATCAATTCTTCAATTAAATGATCTAACTAAGACTTTGTCGGTGAAACGTTATCACGGAAAATGTTTTACACATTTGCAGGCAAACCGGGAAGGTCTATACGGCCGCCCTTGAGGTTTGGTCAGCATGGACGGTGTTGGTGACGCTGCTGATGAACTTTGCCAGCAGAAAATTACTGTACCGCGTCTGGCTTCCCTTCGAGTATAACTCGGCAACAATATACTCCTTGGTCTACCTGCACCACGCACTAACAACCGTGATCTGCGTAACTGCGGTGGTCGCATATGATACCCTATTCACCGGGCTGATGATACAAATATACTCTCAGTTCGAGATACTCCGGCATCGCCTGCGAAACGTTCACAGGAACGAGAACGATTTAGTCAAACATTGTGCCCGTCATCATGATCACATCTACAAGTTGGTTGTCATGTTTCGTACCGGTAGAGATTTTAGGCAGCAGATTATTATTATGCTTCAACATATAGATTGCCAAGACTAATTTGAACAAATCTGTCCTACTTGCCAACATTTCTTTTTCCTTGAATAAATAAATCATAATAAGTAAAAAATAATAATATGTGAAAAATAATACTAAATAAGATATAATAATAAGCTATAACTAATAAGAGATAAGCTAAGCTAAGCTAATAAGGGATAACTCGTGGTTGGCAGTCAATGTGTTAAATCGCACGTGAACGCTAGAGTTAAGGAACCATATCACGTCCACGGAAACTTTGAGTACGGCGTTCACCACCCCATCGTCTGTATCTCCCTCTAAAATCGTTGCAGGTTCGCTAACATGGTGAACAACGAATTCAGAGCTGTTATGTTCATACAGTTCGTCCAGAGCACCGCCGTTCTGTGCTTCGGCCTCTATCAATTGACGATGTCGGAACTTGACGGCAATCTAGCTGACATTGCCTTTTACATTACTTGTTTGCTTCTTCAGATTTTCTACTTCTGTTGGTTTGGGAACGAGGTCAAGTTGAAGGTTTTCAGTCAATTTCTTCTCGATCCACCCGCTGACCGAATGATCGTCATTCTGCGATCCGTTGATCGCTTATTCGATACGCACTTTCTGAGTTCACTACTGTGTAGTGTGTTTCAGTTTGTCTCTAAATAGTGTAACTTGCATTGTAGAAATCCTTCGCGATGTGGTGTGCATTTTTAGTCCAGTCAGCCGGTTCATATCCTCAGAACATGTCCGCAAAGTTTCTCTTTGCAGAGTCTCGAGGTGCCCGACATGATCTTCGAAATCGAATGGACCACGCTGAGCAACAAGACGAAGAAGATACTTCTGATGATGATGCGTCGAGCTACAGTGCCGATAGAATTCACCAGCCTCCACATCGTCTCCGTCAACGTCGAGACTTTCAAGGCGGTACGTACGAAATTGCTTGCCCGTGCTACTCGGACACACTTATCGTCCGATTAGCAACCGATAAACGAAGTAACTCGAGTGTGTGTTTCTTTGCCGCAGTTGATCAAAACGTCTTACTCGGTATTCAATCTGCTTCGACAGAACTAATTACGACAGACCGGCTGTGGATCATCTGTTGCATTGAATCGGAAACGTTCTTATAATTTTATACACACGGAATCAGTGGTAACGAGGTGGAAAATGTAGTCGAGCAGTACGTTGATGTACTACGAAAAGTATACGCAGTAAATTGTTTGGTCGGAGAACGTTGTTTGCCTTTGGAAAACCTTCCTTACTGTCATCGAAGCAATTGCTACAATATCTTGCGTGCTGTCCGAAGGCGGGACTTTGACCGCACCATGCTATTTTAAGGACTTCCTTTCGATTCGGTGCTACATGCGTCATCGGACGATGAAAGCCCATCATCCTTAATGCAAGAGCAGGTACTTTTTCACTACACTTAGCGCAAGTTTTTGAATCGTTTGTTATTTCCACTGGTGCACATTTCCCTCCGTTGATTTTTAGTCGAGCATTGCTGCTACCGACAAGTAAGCGACCGTCACCGCGCTGTTACCGGTGCTTAGTGTAAAATATGTATTTCCCTGTGTGCAGCACAACCAACTACGAAGTATCGTATCCCTTCCATCATTCACTATTAAATACTGTCCCCCTACCTAAGCACACCCCTCTGAGACCCGTGCAAAGGGGCTGCAGAATAAAATACGGGAAAAGTTGAGGAAATATAGATACTGCAAGGGTTGCAATCTTATTTTCTAAATGGCAATTGCGACAGTCGTGCGAGTTCCTCGGTACTTGCCATAATAATATAGCCTGTCCGACCGAAGGGAGACCATCGAGAGGAGACTATCAGAGGGTGCTGAAAGAATCCGATAGNCGACAGTCGCGCGGGTTCCTCGGTAGTTGTCATAATAATATAGCCTGCTAGATCGAAGGGGACCATCGAGAGGAGACTATCAGAGGGTGCTGAAAGAATCCGATAGCCTGTGCTAGTCAGTCGGGTTTCAGTCTCTATATCGTGAAGTCGTGGTTCTCTCATCTTATCAAAATTCACTCTGCTCGCAGTATGCTAACGAAAGAAAATATTTGTTCGAGGAAAACTTGCAGCAGAACGTGATTCGTGAATTCGGTGTAAAAAATATTCTCCCGCTTGCAACAATATAGAATGAACGCTTTTTATCAAGTATTCTGAATAATTGTTTTACTTCGCTTTAAGCGAATTATAATATATAAACATCTTGTAAATCTGATCAATTTTTGGGAGCTAATGAGATAAGATTATATTCGTGATGACAACTACGCTACGAACAACGCTTTTGATACTCACATCGTTAGGTTGTCTAAGGCCATGCACCTGGACATCATCGCTCAAGAAATATTTGTATTCGGTGTACTCGGCCATAATAACCAGTCTCCTGCTGTCTGCATTGCTATCGCATACTCTCGACATAGTATTCAACGTCCAAACTCAGGAAGATCTCAGTGACAATATTATCATCACGGTCTCTGTGGTTGGAGGTGCATGCAAGATGTACACCTTCTTAGTGAATAGAGACAATATCATGATCCTGATAAGGGCTTTGCGGAGAAAGCCGTTCATGCCTGTAAATGAGGAAGAGATGAACATCAAGATGAGATTCGACAAAGTAATCGAGTGAGTACTTTTTAATTATTTTCGAATTCAATATCAAACCAGCACCTACCAAAATTTCGCAAAAATAATTTACTGCCACATCAACGAGCTCAAAAATTTCATTAAAATATTTGATTTGTTCAAAATAAAATTGAGATGTACAGTTTTATGACATGAATTACTTTCTCGAAATCCGTGCTTTCTGCAGATTCTAATAGAATTAAGAAAATATAATACATTAGCGTAAAAAGTAAGTTTCGAATCTGAGCAGACTGTTCTACCGTCTATTTATGGGTGACGCTGCAGTCAAACTGTTGATTTATCGTTTGATGTTGAAAGAACAGAACAATGAATGATTACAGTAAACTGCTTCGTCGAAAATGTAAAATTAAAGTACGGTTTGATATTCTTTGGATCGCAGGGAGAATGCAATTCAATTCATGTGGCTGGTTCAGGCCACCATGATGCTGGTGTGGGTCAGCACACCGGTCATGGAAGCAAAGAACCGAAAATTACCATTTCGCGCATGGATACCGTATAATTATTCCTCTGCGACGCTGTACATGGTGACGTACCTTTATCAATACGTGACTTTGACATTGGATACGATGATGCACATTGGTTGTGACTCTCTGTTCAGCGGGTTGTTGATCTGCGTGTATTGTCAGCTGGAGATTCTCAAGCATCGCCTGCAAAATATTAAGAATGACCAGAATAGGTCGGCGAACGTATGCGCTTTCCACCATCATCAGATATACATGTGGGTTTTTCACAGTTTTCAGTGAATCCTAAATGAAGCCTCATGCTATGCACAATGTGAAACAATTTTATTTTCCTTCCATGCAATAAATGTAACCCTAACATAAAAAAAATTGACGGTAAATGAAGTTGATTTTTTAACATATTCCAAAAGTTTGTTGTTCAGATAAGAACATCCTTTCACATTATTTTAAGTTTTCTAGTGCATTACAGCTGCCAATAAAATGAAAATTAATTTTCTACATAAAGAATGCTTCTGTCATTATAAGAATTAAATCATTTGTGAAATAATTGCAGCTTCGCTTCAAAGTTGAGCAGAAGCTTTCGCATAATTCTGTGCTATCAACTCGTGGCAACCGTGTCAATGGTCTGCTTCAGCATTTTTCAACTGACGCAGGCGCGACTGAATGGAAAAGCAGTTGAACACGTTATGTTCATGATTTGCGTACTGATACAGCTGTTTTACTACTGTTGGTACGGGAACGAAGTTAGGCGAAAGGTTCATAATCCCAAAAAGATTCGATTCTCTACTTTCGAATATTTTTCAACATGATCTCCTATTTCAGAGCTTGGAAGTCCCTGACATGATCTTCGAAAGCAACTGGATAAATTTAGACAACGAGACTAAGAAGGTTCTTTTAGTGATTATGCTACGAGGGTCATTTCCCATGGAGTTCAAAAGCGCTCATATTATAACCGTGAATCTGGAGTCGTTCATGGCGGTCTGTATCAATTATTATCCACTTTTTTCACTGTTTTACGAACAGATGTTAGCCTACAGGGTTCGATAAAAAATTAATCTTTGACCAGCGAATATTTATTGGTATTACATTTAAATATTTCTTCGGTCAGGTGATCAAGACTTCTTATTCGGTGTATAATCTGCTCAAATAAGGATCATTACACGATGTGTAAAGCGCGATTGGAATATTTGAACGGAAAAACAGTCATCAAACAATTTGTATAAATTATAAGAATAGTTCTTTTCTACAACTAACAGTAAGTGCAATTTGGAAGCATGATCATTTTAGTAATAAAAAAAAAGATTACCTTTTCTGAAACGTGTTCATATCTCTGTCAACCTTCTCTCGCCGGAAGATTCAGAATGAAAACATCCAAAAATAAATTAATATTTAATGTGCATGACTATTAATTTGACTTCAAAATTCACGTTGTTTACGTCATTATGTTCATGGCCAACTGATGTACGTNTTCGGTCAGGTGATCAAGACTTCTTATTCGGTGTATAATCTGCTCAAATAAGGATCATTACACGATGTGTAAAGCGCGATTGGAATATTTGAACGGAAAAACAGTCATCAAACAATTTGTATAAATTATAAGAATAGTTATTTTCTACAACTAGCAGTAAGTGCAATTTGGAAGCATGATCATTTTAGTAATAAAAAAAAAGATTACCTTTTCTGAAACGTGTTCATATCTCTGTCAACCTTCACTCGCCGGAAGATTCAAAATGAAAACATACAAAAATAAATTAATATTTAATGTGCATGACTATTAATTTGACTTCAAAATTCACGTTGTTTACGTCATTATGTTCATGGCCAACTGATGTACGTGTGAGTTTCCTGCAGTGTTCGAAAACAATTCATTGATATCACTAGCAGTAAATCCAACTTGAAATCAGGAACGTTTAAGTACTAAAAAATAGCTTATCTTTTGTAAAACGTCTTCACAACTTCGCCATTCTCCTTCCATCGTGAAATGAGGAATGAGTACCCTATATTCCTGTCACTGACAACTATCCCCTACTTTCTCACAGAAGTCGCAGAATTTTTTATTCAATTGATAGGGAATTTCCTATCAAAGGGGAAAGCAGGAATGTTTCTCTTCCCCGTGTCTTTTATACGCATTAAACAGATACCCCATTCCATTGACTAGGTTCCTTTCAACCCCTAATTTACTATACAATTTGCAACCCCGATCATGCTATGCTCCATAAACTAGAGAAAAAAACTTCGCGACAACGGTCTTCGCCGCAGGCGGTATATGTATTGTTAAAAAGGCGATCACATAAGTTGCTGCGTAATTACCGTAATGATACGGCTGGACAGAGGGAACAACAGCGAAGAATACCCGACTTTTTTATGGGAATAAAAGGGATACTAGAATGCGAAATGTCAATACACCCTGAGGTCGTCAGTGCAAGTCGGAACTGCGACGAGAGAAGACCTAGGCTAATCTTCCTGCTCTATTGCTTTAAATCGGAAAGAATAAGGATAGAATAAGACTTCTCAGAATAAGGACAGCCACAATTACATCGCATAAAAAGAAGACAATAGAGAAGCAAAGATGCAAGTGCTACGGTGGACCTTCATGCTGATTACATTGTGCGGATGCTGGCGAATAGCTTCTTGGAACTCAACACCCTGGAAGTATTTGTACAATGCGTACACGGGGACGTGTTTAATAATGGCATTTCTCACCCTTATCGGTGGGATTCTGGACCTCGCTCTCACCGTTGATAACCAGAACGATCTCAGCGAGAATTTATACAAAACCACGGCTTTCGCTATCGATTGCTACAAATTGGCCAACATACTGGCCAGGAGAGAGAACATCGGCATTCTGATGGACACGCTTGAATCGGAGCCGTTAGCACCAGTGGACGACAAGGAGCTGGAAATTCGAACGAAGTTCGACAAATCGGCCGAGTGAGTCGTAAATTTCTATACAGATGTTGGTGCGTTTTGTGGGATTTGTTATGCAACAGTATTGTAATCACTCTCGAAACGGCTCTTGGATGAATGGAGCAGGAAATTTCCATTGAACGATTCCATTTATTTTTCAAACATAGAAAATCATTTATTGATAATTTCTTATGACGAACCCCGCAATAGCTCAGTAGTATACAAGAGCTGGCAGTATTAATTTGATCACTGCTCTTCCAATAATTACAATGCAAAATTAATTTAACTTATAGCCAAATCGTCCGAATTGCTAAAAGGCAGAAAAATATCCAAGATAATCGGCAGCTAATATATATAATACATAATAAAATATAGTACATGCTCTAAAATAAAATACATCCTATCAGTCCTCTAATTAAATGATCGAACAAAGACTTTATCGGTGAACCAGCATCACGAGAATTGTTTTACACGTTTGCAGGAAGATCGTGAAGATCTACACGACGACCCTGGAAATGTGGACAGCGTGGACAGTGCTGGTCACGTTGCTGATGAATTTTGCGAGCAGGAAGTTGCTGTACCGTGTCTGGCTGCCGTTCGAATATAAATCGGCAACAATATACTCCTTGGTCTATCTGCACCATGCATTCGCAACCGTGTTCTGCATTACATTGGTATCCGCATACGACAGCCTGTTCACCGGCCTGATGATACACATATACTCCCAGTTCGAGATACTTCGGCACCGTCTGCGAAACCTTCACAGGAACGAGATCAATTCGGTGAAACATTGTGCCCGTCATCATGATCAGATCTACAAGTTGGTTCCCACGCTTCTTACCCGTAGATACTCTAGTCAACTGCGCTCGATTATGCTTTAATACATTGGCTCTCAAGCTTATTTTGAAGGAATCTGTTCTCTATAAACGCCAACATTTCATTTTCTTAAATAAATAGAAAATAATAATAAGTAAAAAAAATAATAGTTAGAAAATAATAAATAGTATCCAAATAATAAATAAATCCTTTTTCTTGTTAGTAATAAACTTCTGACGCATCGTGGTTGGGTGTCTGCCACTAGATTACACATGATTGACAGTCAATGTGTTAAATCAGACGTGAACATTTAGAGTTAAGGAACCACATTACGTCCACTGGAACTTTGAAGACGGTATTCACCAACCATTGTCTTTGCCTCCGTCTGAAATCGCTGCAGGTTCGCCAACATGGTGAACAACGAGTTCAAAGCTGTTACCTTCGTACAGTTCTTCGAGACCACTGCTGCTTTGTGCTTCAGCCTCTATCAGCTTACAGTGTCGGACCTTGACGGCAGTCTAGCTGACATTGCCTTCTATGTTTGCTGCATACTCCTGCAGATCCTCTACTTCTGTTGGTTCGGCAACGAGGTCAAGCTCAAGGTTCTTACATTTTCTTCTTGGTCTAACCGCTGACCTTATGATTGACATTCTGTATTACTGTGCAGCTTGGCTCCAAATAATGTAACTTGCTTTGTCGAAGTCATTTGCCATGTGGTTTCAATGTTTAGTCCGACCAGGCGGTTTATATTTTGAGAACATGTCCATAAAATTTCTGTTTGCAGAGTCTCGAGGTGCCCAACATGATTTTCGAAAGCGAGTGGACATCACTGAGCACCAAAGCGAAGAAGATCCTTCTAATGATGATGAACCGAGCTACGGTGCCAATAGAATTCACCAGTATCCACATCGTCACCGTCAACCTAGAGACTTTCAAAGCGGTACGTACGAAATTGCTTTTTCCTGCCTTTTAGAGACACTTATCGACAGATTAGAAATCGATAAACGAAGTAACTCGAGTGGGTGTCTATTTGCTGCAGTTGATCAAGACATCTTACTCGGTATTCAATCTGCTTCAACAAAACCAATAACGGTAGACGAGTCATGGATAATATGTTGCGTCAGATCAGAAACGTTCTTGCGATTTTGTAGACACGGAAACGAAGACGAAACGATGATAACGTAATGAATATGCAGTGAATTAATCGGCTTGAGAACGTTATTTGTCTTCGTACAACCTTCCTTTTCTGACCCAAAGACGTCGAAGTTGAAGACAGTTAGAACGTAGTTCGAGTAAAGCGCAAGTTTGTAAAGCTTCCTTCTGAATTTACATGGAAACTGACTGATTTCCAAATTCACATTTCTAGATAATGAAGTTTTAAATGAAAATATGATATTATTTCTTTTGGATTTTTGCTGTGCCTTTGACGTGTTTTTGAGTACAATAAACTTTATATTTATAAAGTAAGTCACGTTAACCATCTTATATAAATATAATAATAAAAAAATCGAATGCAGTAATCTAATTAAACACAAACAACATCTATATAAAATAGGATTCTTAATGGTACCCTATGATATAATACACCTTGATTATTTGTAAGCTTAAATCTTTGAAATACTACAATAAACGTTTATTGAAATCGCAATCTCTCTCCCAGTCACTTACTTTCACAAGTAATAAATGCAACTTGAAATCATGACCATTTTAGTAATAAAAAATGACTTACCGTTTACGAACCGTCTTCACGTCTCCGTCATCCACCTTGCACCGTGAAATCCAGAATGAAGAAGATATATTACTGTCGCAGACTATTGTCAGGGTATTTTCTATCAAAGGGGGAAAAGAGAAATGTTCGTCCCCTACGTGTCTTAAGTCGATACTTTGTTCCATCAACAGCGATCGCATCGTACCTCCATTTGTCAACCAATTTCTTCTCCTCAATCATTATGTGTCGTACAAGCTGGAGAAAGAAAAATACGACCCAAAAAAAATTGTATTCACCGTAGCAGGTATATGTATGGTTAAAGAGTCGATCGTATAGGCTGCTGAGTAATTACAGTAATGATACGGCTGGCCTGAGGGGGCGACAGCGAAAGTCGTTCGACTTCTTTATGGAAGTAGAAGGGTTAGTAGGGGGCGACATGACAATACACTCTGCGAAAGTCAATGATAGTCGATGCTACGTCGAGGGAAGACCTAAACTGATCTTTTCCTCCACTCCATCTCTGAAACATCAAGTTGTTGAAAGAACATGGATAATCACAATTTCGTCGCAACAAAGTAATGAGAATATAATAGTCGCTTTTATTCGACGGGGAAGCAAAGATGCTATTGCTGCGGTGGATCTTCATGCTAATAACATTGTGCGGGTGCTGGCGACCAGCTTCTTGGAACTCGACACCTTGGAGGTACCTCTACAATGTGTACACGACGATGTGTTTTGCAACGGTACACCTCGCCTTTTTCGGTGGAATTCTGGACCTCGTTCTCATCGTTGAAAACCAGAACGATCTCAGCGAGAATTTGTACAAAACTGCGGCTTTTGCTGTGCATTGCTATAAATTGGCCAGCATGCTCGCCATGAGGGAGAACATGGGCGTTCTGATGGACACCCTTGAATCGGAGCCGTTCGCACCTGTGGGCGACGAGGAGCTGGAAATTCAGAGGAAGTTTGACAAATCGGCCGAGTGAGTCGCAAAATTCCATGCAGATGTTGGTGCGTTTTAAGGAATTAGTTGTACAAAAATTAATTCATACGAAACAAAAAACATAATTTGTTGATAATATCCATTTGTTGAAATATCTATAATATACAAGACATGACAGATTTAATTTGAACATTTTGTTTCCGCTAGCTTAATTCAACATTTAGCCAAGTCTCCCAAAATAATAATTTTAAAACAGAAAGAAATAACAATTTCTCTTCAGTATCCTTGTCAATTCTTCGATTGAATGATCGAGCAAAGACTTTACCAGTGCGGATGCTTTACTTCAGCATCACGAAAAATGTTTTACACGTTTGCAGGAAGATCGTGAAGGTTTATACGACTGTCCTAGAGACGTGGACGGTGTGGACGGTGCTGGTGACGTTGCTGATGAATTTTACGAGCAGGAAANTCCTCCACTCCATCTCTGAAACATCAAGTTGTTGAAAGAACATGGATAATCACAATTTCGTCGCAACAAAGTAATGAGAATATAATAGTCGCTTTTATTCGACGGGGAAGCAAAGATGCTATTGCTGCGGTGGATCTTCATGCTAATAACATTGTGCGGGTGCTGGCGACCAGCTTCTTGGAACTCGACACCTTGGAGGTACCTCTACAATGTGTACACGACGATGTGTTTTGCAACGGTACACCTCGCCTTTTTCGGTGGAATTCTGGACCTCGTTCTCATCGTTGAAAACCAGAACGATCTCAGCGAGAATTTGTACAAAACTGCGGCTTTTGCTGTGCATTGCTATAAATTGGCCAGCATGCTCGCCATGAGGGAGAACATGGGCGTTCTGATGGACACCCTTGAATCGGAGCCGTTCGCACCTGTGGGCGACGAGGAGCTGGAAATTCAGAGGAAGTTTGACAAATCGGCCGAGTGAGTCGCAAAATTCCATGCAGATGTTGGTGCGTTTTAAGGAATTAGTTGTACAAAAATTAATTCATACGAAACAAAAAACATAATTTGTTGATAATATCCATTTGTTGAAATATCTATAATATACAAGACATGACAGATTTAATTTGAACATTTTGTTTCCGCTAGCTTAATTCAACATTTAGCCAAGTCTCCCAAAATAATAATTTTAAAACAGAAAGAAATAACAATTTCTCTTCAGTATCCTTGTCAATTCTTCGATTGAATGATCGAGCAAAGACTTTACCAGTGCGGATGCTTTACTTCAGCATCACGAAAAATGTTTTACACGTTTGCAGGAAGATCGTGAAGGTTTATACGACTGTCCTAGAGACGTGGACGGTGTGGACGGTGCTGGTGACGTTGCTGATGAATTTTACGAGCAGGAAATTGCTGTATCGAGTCTGGCTGCCGTTCGAGTATACCTCAGCAACAATATACTCCTTGGTCTATCTGCACCATACTCTGGTCACCGTGGTCTGCGTCACGCTGACGGCCGCATACGACAGCCTGTTCGCTGGCCTGCTGGTACACATATACTCTCAGTTCGAGATACTTCGGCACCGTCTGCAAAACGTTCACAGGAACGAGAACGATTCGGTGAAACTTTGCGCCCTTCATCATGACCAGATCTACAAGTTGGTTCCCATGCTTCGTACCGGTAGAGATCAGCAGTCATCGGTTATGCTTTAGCACATCGACAGCCAAGCTTGTTTTAAGAAAGGAAAAAACAGTAACGAATAAAGAAACAGTAGTAAGTAAAAAATACTAAGAAAATTCTTTCTTTTATTAGTAATGAATTCGTCGAGGTAACTCGTGATTGGTGGTCGATGTGTTAAATCGCACGTGAACACTAGGAATTAAGAACCTATATCACGTCCACGGGACCACCATGGAGGGTATTCACCCACCATTGGGTTTGCCTTGTTCCGAAATCGTTTCAGGTTCGCCAACATGGTGAACAACGAGTTCAAGTCTGTGACATTCATGCAGTTCGTAGAGAGCACCGCCGTCCTGTGCTTCAGCCTCTATCAGCTGACGCTGTCCGAGCTTGACGGCAGTCTAGCTGACGTTGCCCTTTATGTTACCTGCACCCTCCTGCAGATTCTCTACTTCTGTTGGTTCGGGAACGAGATCAAGCTGAAGGTTTTTTCATCTTATCAATCGTGTTTCTCTCGATCCGCCTACTGACCGGATGATCAATACTGTGACCCCTTGATCGTTTGTTCTGTTAGCATTTTTTGAGCACAGAACTGTGCAGTATGTTTCAGATTGCTACCAAATGATACAACTTGTTTTGTAGATGCAAATTCCAATTCGCTTACAATTCTCATTCCGGTCAACAGGTTCATGTTGGGAGAACACATCTTCAAATTTTCTGTTTACAGAGTCTGGAGGTGCCAAACATGATTTTCGAAAGCGAATGGACGTCATTGAGCACCAAGACGAAGAAGATCCTACTAATGATGATGAACAGAGCTACGGTGCCAATAGAATTCACTAGTGTCCACATCGTCGCCGTCAACCTCGAAACTTTCAAGTCGGTTCGTACGAAATTGCTTTTCCGTGCTTTTTAAAAAGATACATATCGGCTGATTAGCAACCGATAAACAAAGTAACACGAGTGTGTGTCTATTTGCCGCAGTTGGTCAAGACGGCTTACTCGGTATTCAATCTGCTTCAACAGAACCAATAACGATAGACCGGTCGTGGATTATATGTTGCATCAGATCAGAAACGTTCTTGCGATTTTGTAGACACGGCAACGAAGGTGAAATGGGAGAACATGTGATCGACTGCTAATTTGATGTACAATGAAATGAATTTGCAGTAAATTAATCGGTACGAGAATGTTGTTTGCATTCATAAAACCACCCCTTTGCGAAATAGACCTAAAGACGTCAAAGTTGAAGGCAGTTAGAACACAGTAATCATTTAAATTCTTTGGTAATGGTTCCAGTTATCCAATCGTTCGAGTAAAGTGCAAGTTTACGAAGTTTCCTTCTTAATTCGCAATTTCCAAATGCACATTTCTAGATAATGAAGTTTTAAAAGAGAATATGGTATTACTTCTTTTGGATTTAGGGTACTTGAGCCAGTTACTGTGAACTAAAAATTTGCTGTGCCTTTGATGCGTTTGTGAGCATAACTAACTTTATATTTATAAAGTAAGTCACATTAACCATCTTTATCCTTTTATTTTGTTCATTTTCTAATAAAACAAAATTGGAAGAAATAATTTCATTAAACTCAAACAACTTATATATAAAATAGGGTTCTTAATGCTACCCTACAATATAATACACCATGATTCTTTGTAAGCTTAAATCTTTGAAATACTACAATAAACGTAATATTGAAATCGCAATGTCTCTTCCAGTCACTTACTCGCACAAGTAACAAATACAACAATAGTAACAGCAAGTAACAAATACATAAAGTTACTTACCGTTTACGAAACGTCTTCACATCTCCGTCATTCTCTTTATACAGTGAATTTCATAATGGCGAACAATGTATTCCTGTCACACAGTATCATCCCCTACTTCTTAACTGAAGAATTTTCTTATTCAGTTGACAGAGAATTGTCTATCGAAGGGGGAAGACAAACGTTCGTCCTGTCCGTGTCTCTTATGGACATTAAACCGATACTTTGTCGTTTCCATCCCCTATTTATCAAACTATTTCTTCTCCTCAATCATTATCTGTCGTATAAACTCGAGAAGAAAACTACGAGTCAAAACAGTTGTGTTCACCGTAACAGGCATATGTATTGTTAAAGAGACGATCGTATAAGTAATTGCAGTAATCATACGGCTGGACAGAGGGAGCAGCAGCGGAAGACATCCGACTTCTTTATGAGAGTAGAAGGGTTAGTAGAAAGCGAAATGTCAATACACACTGCAGTGGTCAGTGATAGTCGAAGCTGCGTCGAGGGAAAACGTAGGTGCTGATTTTTCTGCACTCTTCGTTTGCATCTGAAAGAACAAGTACTTGTGAGGATAAGGACAATCGCAATCAAATCGCTGCAAAATAATGAGAATAGTCCGTTTAACAAGGAATCGTGTATAGTCAGATTTCTTCGGCGAGTAAACAAAAATGCAAGTGCTACGATTGATCTTCAAGCTCATAACATTGTGCGGATGCTGGCGGCCAGCTTCTTGGGACCCGACGCCCTGGAGATACATCTACAACATGTACGCGATGTTCTTTTACTCGATTTTACAACTAGCCTTTTTCGGAGGAGCCCTGGACCTCGCTCTCACTGTTGACAACCGAAACGATCTCAGCGAGAATTTGTACAAAACGATGGCTTTCGGTGTCGATTGTTATAAACTGGCCACCATGCTGGCCATGAGAGAAAACATTGGCATCCTGATGGACATCCTTGAATCGGAGCCGTTCGCACCCGTGGGCGACGAGGAGCTGGAAATCCGGACGAAGTTTGATAAATCGGCCGAGTGAGTTCCAAAATTCCATGCAGACGTTGATGCGCTTTAAAGGATTTGTTGCGCAAGATTTTCATAAACCAATCCTACTATTTAAAAATAATAATTTCTCGACAATTTCCAGTGACAGACACCGCGATAGTTCTATCCAACCATGTCCTCCAACCTAATCCCTCAACTAAATGATGTAACAAATACTTTGCCAGTGAGTCAGTATCATGAACAGAGTTCTACACGTTTGCAGGAAGATCGTAAAAGTCTACATGACCGCCCTGGTGGTGTGGTCAGTGTGGACGGTGCTAGGAACGCTGCTGATGAATTTTACGAGCAGGAAGTTGCTGTACCGCGTCTGGCTGCCGTTCGAGTATACCTCAGCAACAATATACTCTCTGGTCTACCTGCACCACGCGCTCGCAACCCTGTTTTGCGTCACAGCGGCGGTCGCATACGACGGCCTGTTCGCCGGGCTGCTGGTACACATATACTCTCAGTTCGAGATACTCCGGTACCGTCTGCGAAACGTTCACAGGAGCGAGATCAATTCGGTGAAACATTGTACCCATCATCATGACCAGATCTACAAGTTGGTTCCCATGCTTCGTACCGGTAGAGATCCTAGGCAGCATCCATCGATTATGTTTTAACACATTGACTGCCCACTTTGAAGAAATCTGTCCTGGACGCCAACGTTTTTGTTTCTTTTAAATAAATAAATCACAATAAGTAAGAAATAATAATAAGTAAAAAATAATAGTAAATAAAAAATGGTACTAAGTAAAGGATAATAACAAGCATAAAGTAATATTAAATAGAAAATAATAATAAGCGTCTACCACGAGGTAACTCGTGGTTGGCAGTCAATATGTTAAATCACGTGAACGCTAAAATTAAGGAACCATAGCATGCCCGTGGGACATTTGAGGAGGATAATCGCTCAACATTGCCATTGCCTCCCTCTGAAATCGTTGCAGGTTTGCTTACATGGTAAACGACGAGTTCAAAACTGTGACGTTCCTGCAGTTCTTCAAGAGCACCGTCGTCCTGTGCTTCAGCCTCTATCAGCTGACGATGTCGGAGCTTGACAGCAGTCTAGCTGACGTGGGCCTTTATGTTTGCTGCACACTCCTGCAGGTTTTCTACTACTGTTGGTTCGGGAACGAGGTCAAGTTGAAGGTGCTTTTATCTTCTCGATCGTCATTGTATGATCCCATGATCGTTTGTTCCATTGCAATTTTTTGAGTTTAGTTCTGTACAGTATATATAATACTTCATCTTGTTCTGAAATAGCGTAACTTGCCTTCGCAGGAATCAATCGCAATTCGGGTCCAATTTTCGTTCAGGTCAACAGGTCAATATATTGTGATCATGTCTACAAAGTTTCTCTTCGCAGAGTCTCGAAGTGCCCGACATGATTTTCGAAAGCGAGTGGACGTCGTTGAGCAACAAAGCGAAGAAGATTCTACTGATGATGATGAGACGGGCTACGGAGCCGATAGAGCTCAGCAGCCTCTACATCCTCACCGTCAACCTCGAGACCTTCAAGGCGGTTCGTACGAAATTGTTTCTTGTTTTCTTAAAAAGGGTCACTTACCGATCGATTATCAACCGATAAACGAAGTAACTGGAGTGTGTGTGTCTATTTGCCACAGATGCTCAAGATGTCTTACTCGGTATTCAGTCTGCTTCGGCAAAAACATTGACGATCGACTGGTCGTGGATTATCTGTTGCGTTAAATCGAAAATGTTGGTGCAATTTTATAGGCACGGAAACGAAGGTGAAGTGAGACAAAAAGTGGTCGACCGCTACTTTGATGTACTACGAAAAGTATACCCAGTAAATTAAAAGGTCCGAGAACGTTGTTTGCATTCATAAAACCTCCCCTATGCGAAATAGACCTAAAGATGTGGACGTTGAAGACAGTTAGAACATTGTTATGATTCTAATGCTTTAGAAATGTTTCCAGTGATTCAATCGTTCGTGTAAAATGCACAAATTTATAAATATTATTATTTAGTAATAGTATTATTTCTTTTTGATTTAGGATAGTTGAGCCGATTTTGCCTCTGGTTTATTTTTGAGCATAATTAACTTTATATTTACAAAATAAGTCGTACTAAATGTCTTTAGACTTATATTTTATTTACTTTTTAATAAAAATATTTAACGGAGTAATTTAATTAAACTCAAACAACTTCTATATAAAATAGTGCTCTTAATGCAATATGATTATGTGTATGCATAAATCTTTCAAATACGACAATAAAAGCCTATTGAAATCGCAATGCACTCGCTACAAGTAATTAATACAATTTGAAATAAAGAGCATTTTAGTAACAAAAAGTTACTCACCTTTCACGAAACGTCTTCATATCTCTGTCATTCTCTTTGCGCCGTGAAATCTAGAATGAGGGAAGGTTTATTCCTTTCACAGACTACCGTCCCCGACTTCTTGACCGAAGGATTTTTTTATTCAACCGATAGGGCATTGCCTATCAAAGGGGAAAGCACAAAGGTTTGTCCACTCCTTGTCTCTTGTAGACATTATACCATCTGCAGCGTTCATTTCAATCCCTCATTTATCAAACAATGTCTTCTCCTCAATCATTATGCGTCGCATAAGCTGAAGAAGAAGAGAACGGGCCAAAAGAATTGTATTCACCGCAGCAGGTATATGTATTGTTAAAAAGGCGATCGCAGTAAGTAATTACCGTAATGATACGGCTGGACAGAGGGAACAGCGGCGAAAGACATCCGAGTTCTTTATGGGAATGGAAGGGTTAGTAGACAGCGAAATGTCAATACGCCATCGACAGTCAGTAACAGCTGGAGCTGCGCTGGGGAAAGACCAAGATTGATCATCCTGCACTCTTGCTTCGTACCTGAAAGGAGAAGCACTTGTGAGAATAAGGGCAACCACAATTACATTGCAGCGAAATCATGGGAGAATAGTCTGCTGAAGAACGAATCGCGGGTAGTCAGTTTCCTCGGCGGGCAAGCAAAGATGCAAGTGCTACGGTTGATATTCAAGCTGATAACATTGTGCGGATGTTGGCGACCAGCTTCTTGGGACCCGACGCCCTGGAGGTACCTCTACAATGTGTACTCGGTGATGTGTTTCGTGATTATACATCTCGCCCTTTTCGGTGGCATTCTGGACCTCGCTCTCACCGTTGACAACCAGAACGATCTCAGCGAGAATTTATACAAAACCACGGCTTTCGCAGTCGATTGCTATAAATTGGCCAGCATGCTCGCCATGAGGGAGAACATGGGCGTTCTGATGGACACCCTTCAATCGGAGCCGTTCGCACCTGTGGGCGACGAGGAGCTGGAAATTCGGACGAAGTTTGACAAATCGGCCGAGTGAGTCGCAAAATTCCCTGCAGATGTTGGTGCGTTTTAAGGGATTTGTTGTACATCGATATTGTAATCTCTCTCGAAACTGTTCTCGGATGAATGGAGCAGAAAATTTTCATGAAATTCTATTACTTCTATTAATTCTATTACTTTATAACAAATAAAGAATAATTTTTTGTAATAGTTAGATAATCTACAAGATCTGACAGAATTAATCGAGACGCTATATTTCATAAGTACAAGTGCATTCCAAAGTTAACCCCTTGCCATGCTATTTCGTTCTCTTTAGTCTGAATAAAGTTCTGATTTCTTGCCACCAGTATTTAAACATTTAAGCAAATGTAGACGGAAACAATCAATATAAATTATCTTTCACCTGCTTAGAAATTATTACAATCAAAAAACTTCTAATAATTATGACTATAAAGAAAATGGTACGGCAAGGGGTTAATTCAACTTTTAGTCAAATCGCCGAACTTGCTAAAAGGCAGAGAAATATCCAAAATTGTCAGCAGTGTCTAGCTTATAAAATTCTTTCTCAGTGTTCCTATCAATCCTCCAATTGAATTATCCACTAAAGATTTTGCTAGCGAATCAGCGTGACAAATAATATTTTACATGTTTACAGGAAAACCGTGAAAATCTATACGACCACCCTGGAGGTGTGGTCAGTGTGGACGGTGTTGGCAACGCTGCTGATGAATTTTTCGAGCAGAAAGTTGCTGTACCGCGTCTGGTTGCCGTTCGAGTATACCTCGGCAACGATATACTGCTTGGTCTACCTGCACCACGCACTGGCAACCGTAGTCTGCGTTACAGCGGTGGTCGCATACGACGGCCTGTTCGCCGGGCTGCTGGTACACATATACTCTCAGTTCGAGATACTCCGGCACCGTCTGCGAAACATTCACAAGAACGAGAACGATCTGGTGAAACACTGTGCCCATCATCATGACCAGATCTACAAGTTGGTTCCCAATGATTGGTACCCGTAATGATCCTAGGCGGCAGACGTCGATTACGTATTAAATCGCACGTGAACACTTAGAGTTAGGGAACCGTGTAACGTTCCATGGGTCCTTCGAGGACGGTGTTCTCCAATCATAGTCTTTGCCTCCCTCTGAAATCGTTGCAGGCTCGCCAAGATGGTGAACGACGAGTTCAAAGCCGTGATGCTCATGCAGTTTTTCATGAGCAGCACCATCCTGTGCTTCGACCTCTATCAGCTGACGTTGACGGATTTCGACTCCAATCTTGCTGACATTGTCATGTATGCTACGTGTGCACTTATGCAGATTTTCTACTTCTGTTGGTTCGGGAACGAGGTCAAGCTGAAGGTACTTTGATGTTATCAATCGTTTTCTTCTTGATCCACTTGCTCGTCGGATGATCGTTATTCTGTGATCTCTCTGTCCCTTGTTCGATTAGTACATTTTGAGTTGAGACTGCTTTCGGAGAAGCCATAATCGCGATTCGGGTCCAATTTTCATTCCGGTCAACAGATCTATATTGGGAGAACGCGTTTACAATGTTTCTCTTTGCAGAGTCTCGAGGTGCCCGACATGATTTTCGAATGCGAATGGACGTCGTTGAGCAATAAGACGAAGAAGATCCTTTTGATGATGATGAGGCGTGCCACGGTGCCAATAGAACTCTCCAGCCTACAGATCGTTACAGTCAACCTCGAAACCTTCAAGGCGGTTCGTACGAAATTGCTTTTTGTGCTTTTTAAATAGAGATTTATCAACTGATTAATGACCGATAAACGAAGTAACTCGAGTGTGTATGTCTATGTGCCACAGTTGCTCAAGATGTCTTACTCGATATTCAGTCTGCTTCAACAGAACCAATAACGATTAATCGATCGCGGACTACCTGTTTCGTTAAATCGGGAACGCTCTTGCTATTTTATAGACGCGAAATCGGAGGTGAAGAGGAAGAAAGTATGATCGACTGTACATTAATGTACATAAAGTATACGCAGTAAATTAATCGATTCGAGAATGTAGTTTGCTTTCATACAACCTCCCCATTGCGAAATAGACCTAAATGTTATCATGTTATCAATGTTATCATCCAAATTGTTTAAAAATGATTACACCGATTCAATCGATCGTGAAAGGTGCTAATTTATAAAGCTGCCTCTTTAATTCATATGAAAACTGTCTGATTTTCAATTTCACATTTCTAGCCAATGTAACCTTAAACAAAAATATGATGCAATAGCATACTTTTCGACTTACTAAGACCTTTTATTCGAGACGAATAAACAGACAATAAAACAGACAATAAGAATGATCTATACAAATCACAGAGACAATTTTTGATACAACAATCGATAAGTATAACTCGAAAGCGTGAACATTTTATAAGAAGATGCTTACCTTTTAAGTAATGTCTCCATGTCACCGTCGTTCTCCTTGCACAGTGAAATTCAGAATGGCGAAGGTATATTCCTGTCGCATAGTACCATCTCTTGCTTCTTAACTGAAGAATTTTTTTACCCAATTGACAGGGAATTTTCTATCAAAGGGGGAAGAGAAAATATTCTTCCACTTCGCGTCTCTTATAGACATTAAACCGATACTTTGTTCCATCGTCGGTCTTCGTTTCAATACCCCATTTAGCAAACGATTTGTTCTCCTCGATCATTATGCGCCGCATAAGCTGGAGAAGAAAACTACGGGTCAAAAAAAATTGTATTCGCCGTAGCAGGTATATGTATTGTTAAAAAGGCGATCGCATAAGCTGCTGAGTAATTACCGTAATGATACGGCAGGACAGAGGGAACAGCAGAGGCAGCGAAATGTCAATACGCCATCGATAGCCAGTAACAGCTGCGACTGCTCTGGGGGAAGACCAAGGTTGATCATTCTGCACTCTTGTACCTGAAAAAGAATAAGTACTTGTCAGGATAAGGGTAACCACAATTACGTCGCAGCAAAATAATGAGAATAGTTTGTTCAAGAGCGAATCGCGTATAGCCAGGTTTCTTCGGCGAGGAAACGAAAATGAAATTGCTACGGTTGATCTTCAAGCTCATAACATTGTGCGGATGCTGGCGACCAGCTTCTTGGAACTCGACACCCTGGAGGTACCTCTACAATGTGTACGCGATATTGTTTTACTTGATTCTACATCTGGTCTTTTTCGGCGCGGCTCTGGACCTCGCTCTGATCGTTGACAACCAAAACGACTTCAGTGAGAATGTATTCAAGACCACCGGTTTCGCAATTAATTGCTATAAATTGTTCAGCATGTTGTTCATGAAGGAGAACATCGCCGCACTGATCGACACCCTTCAGACGGAGCCTTTCGCACCCGTGAGCGACGAGGAGCTGGAAATTCGGACGAAGTTTGACAAATCGGCCGAGTGAGTTTGCACAATTTAATACAGATTTTTGTGCGTTTTAAGGGCGTTTCTGTACCAGAATATTATCATTTCTGATAAGAATACCTTTGTCAGAGGGGTCAGGAAATTCTCGAAACATTAGTCACTGATTTCTGCAGATTAATATACAGGGTGTTCCACAATTATTTTAACAGCCGAAAATGAGGGGTAGCTGAGGTCATTCGAAGTAACTTTTTCCTTTGCGAAAATGCGATCTGCGGCTTTGTTTACGAGTTATTAACGGAAAACACTGACCAATGAGAGGTGACGGCGCGAAGTTCGAGAGCCCGCAGCACGAGGCTTTGACAGATGGTCGGGACGGACTCGAGCCGCGTTCGAAGTATTGAACAAATCACGAAGCGAGAACATTCCAGATTTTTTTACTACGTAACGAGTAGGAGATACGATTATTCGATCCTTGCACCCCGTTGTTATAATTGTCGACAATCGATGACTATAAAAATGAGCAAGGAGACTCGAGTAATCGTATATCTCCTCTTTCCAAATTGTTCATTTTTGTGTACAATCTGAGTATCGATTAGGGAGAATATACTCTATTCTTAATAAATCAGTAAATCAGCATAACGAAAATTGTTTCACACGTTTGCAGGAAGACCGCGAAAGTCTACACGACCGTTCTGGAGGTCTGGGCGGTGTGGACCGTGGTGGGGACGCTGCTGATGAATTTCGCGAGCAGGACATTGCTATACCGGGTCTGGTTACCGTTCGACTATACCTCGGCGACGATGTACTCCTTGGTCTCCCTGCACCACTCGCTAGCCACGATAGTCTGTGTCACGATATCAGTCGCATACGACGGCCTGTTTGCCGGGCTGCTGGTTCACATATACTCTCAGTTCGAGATACTGCGGCACCGTTTGCGAAACGTTCACAGGAACGAGATCGATTCCGTGAAACATTGTGCCCGCCATCATGACCAGATCTACAAGTTGGTTCCCATGCTTCGTACCGGTAGAGATCCTAACACGACGGACGACGATTATGCTTTAAATTGCACGTAGGAGTTAGGGAACCGTTTCACGTCCACGGGTGCTACGAGCAAAGGTATTCACCCACCATAGTCGTTGCCACCCTCTAAAATCGTTGCAGGTTAGCCAGCATGGTGAACGACGAGTTCAGATCTGTGATGTTCGTGCAGTTTTTTGTGAGCAGCACCATCCTTTGCTTCGACCTGTATCAGATGACGCTGACGAACCTCGACTCCAACCTTATTGACGTTCTCGTGTACTCCACGTGCACGCTTAGCCAGATATTCTACTATTGTTGGTTCGGGAACGAAGTCAAGCTGAAGGTTCTTTCATCTCATCAATCGTTTTCTTCTTGGTTCGTCAACTGCTGACCGGATGATCATCGTCCCGTGATCCCTCGGTCAGAGTTGAGAAAAGTCTTGATCTGATTAACGATTAACGATTTTAACTCGTTAATTGTTATTAGGCCGCGGATCTTTGTGCATAACGAAGATTTTCCAAGACGATTGTGAGAAGGAGAAATTAAGTTGATAAAGATTGTTTCTTTTGTTCGCTTTAAATAGTGTAACTCTTTTTATGTCTTCGCAATTTTGTATTTCAGCTATCCACATGAACGCGTAAAATCCTCAGTTATTATAAAAAAAACTCTTGTTATTATAAATTACTACGAATTAGATATAATAACCAACGAGTTATAATCGTTGATCATTAATCAGATTAACGTTTATCGAGTTCGAGAAAATATATAGCGTGTTCCAGCTCGCTCCCAAATGATGTAACTTGCTTCGATTCAATTTTCATTCCGGTCGACACGTTCATATTGCGAGAAAACATGCCCACAAAGTTTCCGTTTGCAGAGTCTCGAGGTGCCGGACATGATTTTCGAAAGCGAATGGACGTCGTTGAGCAACAACACGAAAAAGATTCTACTGATGATGATGAGACGTGCTACGGTGCCGATCGAGCTCTCCAGCCTCCACATCGTCACTGTCAACCTCGAGACCTTCAAAGCGGTTCGTACAAAATTGCTTTTCCGTGCTTTCTAAAAAGAGATACTTATCGACGGATTAGCAATCGATAAACGAAGTAACTCGAGCGTGTGCATATTTACCGTAGTTGATCAAGATGTCTTACTCGGTATTCAGTCTGCTTCAACGGAACCAATAACGATAGACCGGTCGTGGACGATCTGTTGCGTTCGATCGGAAACGTGCTTGCGATTTTGTAGACACGGAAACGAGGGTGATAAGGTAGAGAATGTAGTCTTGCGATACTTTCATGTACTACGAAAAATATACGCAGTAAAGTAATCGGTCAGAGAACGTTGTTTACCTTTATACAATCTTCCGTTTGTGAAACGAAGACGTCGATGGTAAAGATAATTGCAAAATGTAGTATCATCCAGATTCCTTCACAGTGCAACTTCATAAAGCTGAAATAGAATTATAAAGACATTTCTGTGAGTTGTATCGTGGCTGTGCAAAGTGATAGAGGTAATCAGAATTAGAAATCTTATATTAATTTTAGTAGAGGGCATCTGTAAAATCGTGATGATTCCGCGTGCAGAAATAAGATTGCCAATTAAATGAACATGGAAAGCTTGAGCGATCGTCACACTTGAATATATTTTTTGATTCAGGCACATGCTGTTATAAAAAGTGCGAAAAATTTAAGTAAATTCCATCTCGTAATTCTTATAAAGCAATTTTTGTTAGTCGCTTTCAGGTCTCGGTAGGTATATTGTTAACAGGAAAAAAATCTACATCGTTTTAATCTATGAAAACAGCAAAGCTACGTCGACTTTTCTCAATTGCATCAGCGACGATAACAGTCCCCGTATCAAATCGCGCAAACCCGGTGAATCCCACGATCGCCGTCCGCGTGCCAGAGACCCTCCTTAACTATGTATTCAAAATTAGAAAGTGTTACTCGGTTGGCCATCGGAACTAAACACCTTTAAATATATTTTCTGGACCTGCTCCAACTATTCGTCGGGCGAGCGTAGCCGATGAATTCTGTCTGTTTACTCGGCGAAGAAAACACCGAGGGACATACCGTAGAATAATTTGCACTCACATCGCGCGCGACGTTCCTCTCAAGTAGAATGATTCCCACCAGGAAGCTGATCCTTCCGAGCTCTGCGATCGACGACGACGAACTGAAGAGCGGCTCGCCCTGCGGAGTTCATTTTTTATTAATTTTCGCGGAGGGCACGCGTTTCGCGGTCGGTCGAGTCATTATCGATACGCGTTTTTTGCATACACTCGACGTGTTTCGAGCGTCCCGGTCACAGTCGCGATGTAACAACGGGTTCACGGCGATAAAAAAAATAAAGAAACCGAGGGTGGCTATACCAGAACCGGTCATAAGGCTTAATACCGGTACAATTTTCCCTAGGGAGCGGAAGTCACCGCGGTAATTATGGTCCCTATGATCGAGGGGAGTAAGGTGGAAGAGACAGGTAATAGCGGTCGCGATATATCCGTCTATAGCGGAGAGAAATGACGAGACAGGTGAAACAGTTGGATGCCGGCTTTTCACCTTCTCGATTCGAGGCGTAGCAATTTTCGACGTCGACGTCGAATTCCATAGGATCGTATTTAACTCGAATTTCGCGGAATGCACAAGCTACCCCTCTCGTTCCTGTTGCTCACCTGCGTCGGCTACTGGAGGCCGACCACCTGGCCGGCGAACTCGTTGAAATACTGGCTGTACAATGCGTACTCGTTGATCATGATCTTTCTGCTGTACCTTTTCACGTTCTACGCGTTCGTCGACGCCATAATTAGCAAGGATCTGAACACCACCACCGACAAGTTCTCGCTCTGCATCTCGGTGCTCGGCGTTTGCATGAAGGTCGCCAATCTGTTCATTCAGCGCAAGAGGATCGTCAGCGTGGTGAACAGCCTGTTGAAGAAGATCCATGTGCCAAGGGACGAGGAGGAGATGATCATACAGCGGAAGTTCGACAACCATGCCAGGTCAATCCCCTACATTAAACTTCTGTAATTCAGTCTTGTAGCTGCACGAAACGACCCGACCGTCGGCTTCGATAAAATCCACTTTTCAAGAACGAAGCAACAGCTCTGTCATGCGACGCGCGAATGTTTAATCGTTCGAGTAAACGTCGACACGCGATAAATATAAATTTTCCGTTCCTTCTAAGGAATTGTTAACAATCGAAAATGTTCTGGTCACTGTAACTGTATAGAGAGGGGTGAATTGACGCTACGACAGTCGAGCCAGAAACCTCAAGAATTCAATAAAGTTAAAATATTTTATTTTACGTTCCTAAGTTTCGACAACAGAATAATCCAGTTCTGCTTCGATTTTGAAGAAACGAATAACATTCCTATTTAAACCGATTATGCATGAAATCTTCATCTATCGCAAGGGGTTGAAGTGTTAACGTTTCTTACAGAAAGCTGACGCTGTACTGCGAGGTGCTGAACGAATCGGCAGCGTCTGTCGGGACAGTGGGTCAATTGAACCAACTAATCAGCACAAGGACCCTGCCGATCTCGAACTGGGCGCCTTACGATCTGTCCTCGCCGACGATCTACGCCGCGTCTTGGATCCAGCAAACGCTGAGCCTGTTGGTGTGCGCGAACACCAGCGTGGCCCACGAGACCCTGATCTCCGGGCTGATGATCCAGATCAGCGCGCAATTCGAAATATTCTGCCATCGAGCGAGATCGCTACCAGCTTTGCTGACGGAAGCAGAGAGATTATCCCAATCCGCGGCGGACTTGAAGATCAGAAGGAAGAAGATTCTGAAGAACTTGATCGAGCACCAGCTCGGGATCTACAAGTGAGATGCGTGGCGTCCCATAATTATGTTAACAACCGGAAAAGGGTGATTCCTGAAGTCAATCGAAGTAACTTTTTCCTTGGCGAGAATGCAATCCGCGGCTTTGTTTACGAGTTATTAACGGAAAAACAATGACCAACGAAAGCAGATTGCATTTTCGCCAAGGAAAAAGTTACTTCGAACGATCCCAGAAATCACCCCTTTCCGGGTGTTAACATAATTATGGGACATCCTGTATTCCTCCATCGCTCGATTGCCAGCGATTCGATGAGAATATTGAAACGATTGCAGATTCGCACACAATGTGAACACGGTTTTCCAGTACATGATCCTTCTGCAGCTCATGGTGAGCTCCATGGTGCTCTGCCTGACTATTTACAAAATGTCGACGGCGCACTCGCTCGACGTGAACTTCGCATGGAGCTTATCCTATTTGTGCAGCATGCTCATGCAGGTGTATTTATACTGCTGGTACGGAAACGAGGTGACGTTGAAGGTTGGCACCGAATTTCGTTTCCTTGAATCATTCGGCGCGCCGAACACGATCCAGAACCGACGGAAAAATCAGGCGCAAGCTTCTCGATCTTTCCTCGATTCGATCGGCTAGATCCTCTGGACTCGTCTCGGAGTGTCCTTCGTGGTTGGGCGAAATGTAATCGTAGATACGACTAATCATCTTGACTTCGATCGTTCGTGGGATAATTAGTCTGCGGATCTTTCTGCAAAATAAAATTTGTCTAAGTCAAGTCGTGACAATTTGTCAATCGTAATTAGTTGAAAATAATGTGACAATCTCCTTAAATTCTTCTCTTCTGATCAATGGTCAATCATAATTTAATCGTCCAATCGCGTCGATGAAATTCCCAGCTCCGATGCGTACACTAAATTCTCCCTAATTTACGCTCAACTTGTACACAAAATCGGGCAATTTGGGAAAAGAATATACGATTGTCAACAACTATAAAAAAGGCTTAAAAAGGCCTGATAAAAGGCCCGAATAATCGTACCACATCTTCCCAAATTCAGCGTGAATAAGGGAGAATTCACTGTATTTCGATCCCTGCAATTCATGAACAATGTTCGCAGAGCACAAAAGTCTGCGACGCCATTTACCAGATGGACTGGACCTCGCTTCCAGTGAGCATAGTGAAAGACCTGCTGATGATCATGATGAGGTCCAGGAAGCCTGTCAAAATGTCCAGCGCCCAGGTCATCACTCTGTCCACGGAGTCGTTCGTCACCGTTAGTTGAGAAACTGTTCGCCTCGTTCATGGAAACGAACGCTGTTTAACGATCGTGAATTCCAGATCATAAAGATGAGCTACTCGTCGTACAACATCTTGAAGGACTCGTCTAACAACTAACAGGTTCACCACCGGTCACGCTTACTTGATATTGTAATTTTGTAACTTTCGTAAGAATACTCGCGGAGACGTCATTACTACGACCAACAATTCCATATCAGAGGCGGAAAATAAATCGGCATGATCATCGCTCCGACCCTTAATTAGATCGCCTTTGCACGCTAATTTTTCTTCGGCCAGGGAAATCTGACCGACGTCGACGAGATTAAAATGTCCGGCGAAATATTACAATTGTCAGACTCCGTTCGATTTAAAGCCGCGGAGTAAAATAGGAACCGAAGGCGAAACGGAGGTTTTGACCCACTTCGCTTCGGAAAATATTAACGTAACGTCTCTAGAACGACGTACTCGGATTATCTACCAGAGAGAACTGTTCACTTCTTTGAAAAATTATCTCGGTTCTCTACATGCTGAAGAATCTCAGCGATCGTTCTCAGCTGTACACCAGAAGATCCATGGGATCCCTGGATCGCTCGCGCGGTTCCAGAGCGTCGACTTCCCGGTGCTAACAGATATCCCCGAGATTCTCTCGTTTATTGTTCCTGTCGGTGCGATTGTAGCTAGTTAAAAGCTCCTCGACGTACAATTGACCGCAAAGCGGTCAAAAATAGCCGGCGGGCTACCGCCTCGCGACTCGGTCGGCAAAAATCGCGACAGCTTCGCAGGATTTTTCGGAACGGGCCGTTCGGATCTGTTCCGCGACTGCATCCGGTAATTCGATCCAATCTGTCATCCCGAGGCGCGGAACAGGGGATCGGAAGACGCGCGTTCCGATTCGAAATCGATCCCCGTCGTAGTCCGTGGATGATCGCGCTGGGCTCCAGTGTCTCTCCCCATTGGAAGGTGAGAGAAATTCCCGAGGAGCGGCGAGCAGAAAATAAACGTTCGGGGCCCCACCCCCGTAGAACTTTCCGTGGCGGTCCATTTTTGGGCTCCCCACCTCCGATCCTCGGCTCCGCCGCGAGTTCACGTCCCGCGTCGAGACGAAGACGAAGAAGCTCGCCGAAGCACCCTCGGACACTCGACTCGCGCCACTCTACTCGCTCGGGTTAGGTAAGTGAACTCCGAGCAAAAAACGTCCGAGGAAGGAGCACCGTCTCCGTGGATCCCCGTCTTCCTCTGCAGTCTCCGCTTCTCTTCACGTCACGTCCGAATCCGCGTTCGACCGCCGACGTGACGCGAGTGCCCGTAAAATTCCGAGACTCTGTGCCGTGGAACGAATTCCCGCGGAGGATCCGCCGATGGATCCGAGACGAATCGACCCTGTGGAGGATGGAGGAGGATTAGGCTTCTTGCTTGATCGCCGGAGAAGCTTGCGCTAACGGAGCTTCGGTTGCTCGGAGGCTTCAGGATCGCGCGGGCCCCGTCTGCCGTCTTGAAGGTTTTGAGCAAATTGCTTTCGCTTGTAAGTAGAACTTTTAACCTTGCTTCGCTGTTAACAATCGTGATAATCATGACGTTTATTACGATCGACGGGAGAAAGTCTCTGTGTTACGATGATACGACGATACGTCGCGCTAAATAGCGGTCGGGAAAAAAAGAGGAGAAAAGTGACGCGATAAAAAGATAAGATAAGTGATCGATAAATCGAACGAAGTCGGAATTATATCGAGATAATTGAATAGGGCGAAGAATGGTAATCGAGGCGAGACACTCTCGTCGCTCGAACGGGATCGTCGCAAGCTGGAATCGCATCGGATCGGTCCACTCGCATGCTATTTTCGACCTCTAACCGCGGAACGATCCGGTGGATGTTTCCTGGTAGCGAGCCTGATTCGCGGCAACGAGAGAGCTCGTCGATGTCCGTCGCGACGACGACGATCCGAGAATAAGCAGCCGGAATGATTGCAGATGAGAAGGAGACGCGGACGATCGCTTTCGCAAGAGCTTCTAACCAGCGCAGCTTTCGCACGACTAACGCTTCCAGAGCTTTTTCCAGGCTCGCCGTAATCATGCAGTAAGTAGCGCTCGCACTGTCAACTAACACGCCTCCTACATCGTCCGAAGCCGTCGCTTGACGAAGGCTCGAACAAGGTCCCCCGTTGTTATTGACTTTCGAGGATCTACTTTCTTATGTCACTTTGGCACTCGCGGGTAACCAGATGCCAAACGCCTTCCAGGCGCTATTAATAACCGGAAAGAGGGTCGAATGTTGCCATTCAGCTACCAAACGATCAATTAAATGACCCGGGCCCGCCTCCCGGCGATCGCCCATCGTTCGCACCCTTCCCCCAAATATTTACGGATCAAATTTTTCCCGAGGCTCCATCGCCGATCTGGATATTAACGAATGTTCCCACGCGATGTTCCTCGATGTAAACACCGCGGCCGTTTGCTCGACGGGCAAAATTCTGTTCAGGGCTCCGCGGAGAAATCGGCCGGTTATCTCTTTTCTTAGGAGTTCACGCGGGGATCGCGCGGCAAATCGGGTGCAATCGGGACGATTCTCGAGGTCCTTCGTGGATCCTCGAGAGATCCGTGCTCGCAGGACCTAGCAGCGGGATCGCGAGAGCCGCCGGGCGATGATTTCGTAAATGCTATTAATACGCGGCAGTTAGATCGAATGTCGGTCGTCGGTGGCGGCCAAGTAAAGCCCGTTCTTCTGGGTTACGCTCGTGCTTTTTGGCCTCCTCGCCTCGCGGCCTCAGAAACGCCGGCCGCCGTCCTCTCTTTTCGTCGTTCCGCGCATATTTATAGAGCCTGCCTATGGATGCTATTTCCGTAGACGCACCGACGTGCTCTCCATCTCTCTCTCTCTCTCTCTCTCTCTCTCTCTCTCTCTCTCTCTCTCTCTTTCTCTTGTCTCTCTTCGACGCGGCTCGCAGGCCGCGCGGTATCATCCGCCGGATTATGACTCGCAGAACCCACGGAGATCGACGAAATATGCAAGCCGCGGCTCTCCGCCTCGCACGCGGCCCGATCCTCTATTTTCAGGGTTAAAACTGGACGCTTCGAGAACCGGATGTCCTCCGCGTCGCGTCTTATATAGCGATAGAGGGCTATCAATCTCTTTAAGGAGCACACGGACATTGGTTCTGCAGATTTTTGCTCGAGCTTATTTTGATCCTTTTCGCTGCACGGAATGCGAAAGCTTCCGAGTTGTACCTGTTCGAAGAATGTGCAGATGCCCTACCAACTTTCAGGCGCGAGCACATTTCTCTTGGGCCGTTTCATTGGCTCAATGTTCCACGTGAAATACCTCGAGCTTTCGAGTTTGTCTACAGCAGACGATGAGCGGATACTGGAAAGTCTATTAACTTCTGATTATACAGATTTTCTTTTTCGATCTTCTTTTTATAAATAAGCTACCTGAATTTCCATTTAATGTTGGAACATGATTTATGAGTCATTTCAAGGCTTTATCTTCGGCTCCGATAGACAAGAGACAGGCGAAAGCACTTTTGGAAGCGTCAATAGCTTCTGACGCCAATGATCTTCTCTTTGGGCATCTTTTTATGAAATATGCTACCTGAATTTCTGTTTAACATTGGATTATAATCTATGGATCATTTGAAGCTTCTGAAGGATCTGGCAAACATCCTACTGGAAGTCCTAGTAGCTTCTGACCCCAATGATCTCTTCTTTTCGACGTCTTCTTACCAAATTTCTATTGAATATTGAACTCCAATCACTGAAACATTTCGAAGCCTCATCTTTGGCTCCAGTGGGCAAGAATCTAGCGAAAGGCTATCTGCAAGCCCTAATTAGCTACCAAGGAAGTACTTAGGCGTCTCTTGATTGAATTGGTTCTCTCCGAGCTCATCCAGAGTTGATCGTAAACTATGGAATACTTCAGACTTTCGCGCGAACATTCCGAGAAACGATTTTCCCCAGGGACACTTGTTGAGAAAATCATCCGAACCCCGTTGGCCCGCGAAGTTCGAAAGGCGGATGCTCGCGATGCCCAAAGACCAAAGCCCTGCGACGAGAAGATGAAAGAACGATGGACATTCGACTAAATCGGACTTGGGTGATTCCAGTGAACTCGATAGTTTCTTGAAGGAAGCCGGCAGGAGAAAAAGGCCGCCATCATGGACGCGATCAAGAAGAAGATGCAAGCGATGAAGCTTGAGAAGGACAACGCGATGGACAAGGCCGACACCTGCGAGGGCCAGGCCAAGGAGGCGAACATGCGTGCGGACAAAGTGAACGAGGAAGTGAGCGACCTGCAGAAGAAGCTGACGCAAGTGGAGGGTGACCTGTCGGCGAACAAGAACGCTTTGGAGCAGGCGAACAAGGACCTGGAGGAGAAGGAGAAGGCTCTGACCAACGTGAGTGTGGTGTCGCTTGACGCGACGGGCTCCAGCTGCGATTGCTCCAGTTTATCTTGGCCCGGGTCCAACTGCGATTTTCGCCGACATGTTTTATTTTCGTTTTGTCACCGGGAGTCGCGACGCGACGCGACGGTCTCGCCTGTTTAAGATCGATGACTCAGTGTGACGCAGTTTTACGAACCCGAAGGATCATCTGTTCGGGCCCTAGCTCTCACCCTTCTGCCCTCCCCTTTTAGGCACCGAGTGAGTCACTCCGCGGCTTTTTGGTTTCCAGGCGGAGTCCGAGGTCGCCGCTCTGAACCGCAAAGTCCAGCTGATTGAGGAGGACCTGGAGCGATCCGAGGAGAGATTGAACACCGCCACCGCCAAGTTAGCCGAGGCTTCTCAAGCTGCCGATGAGTCCAGCCGGTGACTGTCTCACGAATCGTTAAACATTTATTCGGGTTCAGGGATTTTGGGGCTGATCGATTGCTGTTTCAGTATGTGCAAAGTGTTGGAGAACCGTGCGCAGCAGGACGAGGAGAGGATGGACCAACTGACGAACCAGCTGAAGGAGGCCCGTCTGCTCGCTGAGGACGCCGACGGAAAATCCGACGAAGTCTCCCGGAAGCTGGCCTTCGTTGAAGACGAGCTGGAAGTAGCCGAGGACCGAGTCAAGTCCGGTGAAGCGTAAGTGCTCGCGTTCTTTCTTGAACAAAATTCCGATTTTTGGATCATGGGAGACGATCGAATTTTGCAGCAAGATCATGGAGTTGGAGGAGGAGCTCAAAGTCGTCGGCAACAGCTTGAAATCTTTGGAGGTCTCCGAAGAGAAGGTGAGTCCCTCGTTCGATTTCTTTCTTTTTTATCGTCCTTGAATCGAGTTTGGTACGACGTATTAACTGGATCCGTTTAGGCTAACCAAAGAGTCGAGGAGTTCAAGAGACAGCTCAAAACGTTGACGGTCAAGCTAAAGGAGGCTGAGGCCCGCGCGGAGTTCGCCGAGAAAACGGTCAAGAAGTTGCAGAAGGAGGTCGACAGGCTCGAAGGTCAGTCAGCGAACTTTTTCCTATGGGATCGAGATCATTAATAAGTGACTAGTGATTTACACATTCGTACAGCTTCGGGTATCGGCGGCCAAAGGGATGGATTTTCGTTGCGGGGGGAAAAAAACGTGGCACCGTATTTTTAGACTATTTTGCATCGAACTCAGGCAGCCATGACGTAATTTGGCAAAATGACAACGGCGCTACCGTAATTCGGCTACGCTGGAATGGAATCAAAAGATTCGTGGTCAATTTGCCAACCTTGGGCGAACGTTGCCGCGCGAGCCGCGAAACCCTTTGATCGATTTCCGATGAACGTGAACAGAATCGCACGAACCGTTGACTAGCAACGGATAGAGACGGTTTACACGGTTTGCGGATGGTAGTCCGGGTAGAAATCACCGCGCGACAATGACAGTACTCCGTGCAACACCACTGATTTTCTTTGCAGACGTATTGCACCAGCAGAAGGAGAAACGCAAAACGATTTGCGAAGAATTGGACAAGACATTCTCTGAGCTTTCTGGCTACTAGAAACAAAAAAAAAGCAAAAGAGAATAAGATACGTTTACGACAAAAAGAACTCGGAAAGTCAGAAAGAAACGAATCCACTCACAAAATCGCTCGAAACTTCTCGTTTATTTCTTTGCTCAAAACTTGTTCTCTCAGTTTTATCGTTCACCGTCTCGAAGTGACTTTACCGCTTGAAGCTACATTTCTCCCTGTTTTCTTTTGTCGCTGTGCTTCCAAAGGGCGTATTATTTTTTTCATTCTGTTCCGTTACCAAAGTTTTCTCTCTCACTTTTAACAAACACCGTCACGTTTTTCCGTCACGTTTACAAAGAGCATCACATTTTACTTTCGCTTTTTTCTCTCGTTCTCTTCTCTCACATGCTCTCTCTCTCACTCATACAAGATTACATGTATACGCAAGTTACGTGTTCGCTGTTCCGCACGATCATCACTTTCCGAGGATTTTCTTTGAATTCTTTATACTCGTCCGATTTGGGAGCGCTTCGCTTATAAGTTTTCTTTCCTTTTGTTTTCTCTTCCGACAAAGAAATACACCCAGATTCTCACTATTCACGTTTAAGTTGAGCATCGTCTATTAATATCCACGCGTACATCGAAAAACACACAAGGCGCTTAACAGAATAAAATCTGAACGAAACCAAAAAAAAAATAATAAAGAAAAGAAAAGTAAAAGAATAATAGAACAAAACAAACAAAAAAACAAAGCTTCGCACGTGTTTATGTGGGCCGTCGTACGCCAGGTACATTTGCCACCCTCTCGCAAAACCGTTTGCCTTACACTCGTGCAAAGGTATACTACACCTCACGATTCTTGCATGCTTCGAGCACTGTGATTAACCGACGAAGGAAATTACATCGAACGCCGTTTGTGATCGCTGGACTCTGTGCAAACTTACCGATACAACAAACAAACTAGAATCAACCCTTGCGGTGGTGGATTTCGGCGTACCTAGAGAGTCATTCTCTCGAAAAGATCGTATCAAATGCAAAGGGCCGGGGAGGCCCTATAATTAAGGGATCGACAATAAATTCGAATCTATGAAACGATCAGTCTAGTGGCACCAAAATCAACCGTCCCGGTCGATTTTGTTCACGCGATGCGGTTCCAAACGGTGCTGGCACACGAACAGTGGACAACGAGATGTAGTTTTCTTCCTCATTAGGAAGAAGATATTGAAGCTTCGTTTAGTAGTTTGCTTTCACACGCGTGCGAATGTGCGACACGATGCTTTTTCTGTACCATATTTTGTCTCGTACAAACACACCGACATACACCGCGTTGTACGACGCCAGTACACCTAGAGATTTTGAAGAGGCCAGTGTGCTTTTTGTAGAGCGAATGATCGCCGTACAATTTTTTGAGTAGGGGGCATAACAGTCTTCCCGTAGCCGAACCGACCAGAGGAAACAGTTCGAACCGATTTTAAAACCGCGACTTAGGTCCGTTCGAGCAAGTAGTATACGTCCTGCGCTTGCCCGATAGATCGCGATCTACCGTTTAGAATGACACCGTGATCTCTTAGGGCCGTGCTCATAGTCGCGCCTTACTCGCGTAAGACCTTGTTCGCATGATCTTAAGACGCCACCTAGATTCATTCGTTCATCCTTCAGATTTTTCTTAAGAGTACGGTAAATAAAGCTCGAATAATCGTGTCTCCTCTTCCCAAATTGTCCAGTTTCGTTTACAAGCTGTGTGGAACGATTCGTCTGTAATCCTAATAAGATCATGCATGAAACGGTCTTTTAAACGAGACTCGATTATGAACACGGCTCTCTCAGGCTGCATCCGTATTTCCCGTGCGTCAACTTTCGCTGCTTTATCGCGGATGCAGCTTTTTTGGACGACCGGACTTCGTAACCTAGTTTTCTATACGTAAAAGTGCACCGCAGAAAATGCTGCAGAATTTTCTGGTAGATTCTGCGGGGTGCGACGGGGGAACGTATCGGGCAGGCGCGTAGAACCGACGTAGACGGTCCGTAGGACCGTATCGATTAGATGGAAAGGGGTCGAAAGAGGATTTTGTTGGGTAGAAGGGTGTCGAGAGGCTTGGCTGACGTATTTTCCGAACATTGCAGACGAGCTGGGCATCAACAAGGACAGATACAAGTCGCTCGCCGACGAGATGGACTCGACGTTCGCCGAGTTGGCCGGATACTAAGCCGCCTCGTCGTTCCGTGCTTCCGTTTGACGATCGAGATCATTATCACGCGTGCGGGGAGATGGAACTGCTGCTACGACGCCGGATAATCAGTGCTCGGCGAGAGAACCAGGGAGCCGAGGACACGGTTCCGGGGGCCGGGCGTTATTATTTATCTAAATTATGCGACGAAGATGATCAATATACGGTGGAGATCGTAAGGAATTTTACTCTGTTACACTGTTGTACCAAATATTACACGAGACCCAATAAACTGCTGCAATGTGGTATGCGTTACTAATTAGACACGCGCTCTCTTTCTCTTTCCAGTCGACTCCGCTTCTCGAAGAGATCGATCCTCTTTACTGTAACCGGTTCTTCGAAAGAAGGGATCCGTCGACGAGCATTTCGTGCGGCCAACACTGATCCGCAGCATCTACGCGGCGATGCTCTTTCGAAAAACCGGTTGTGGAATCGTCCCCTATCCGGAGAGGACAGAAATTCATTTTCTATCTCTACACACCATCGAATATATCAGGCTGTTGCTACAAAATCGTTACAAGTGCCCTCCTCTCGATGCAATCTCGACCGGTAGCGTCGTGTGCAACCTGATATTTCACTTTTCTCTGATACACTTCTCACCGACGACACTTAAGAAACGACTCGACTCGAATTTCTTCTTTATCGTAGAGAGACCAGCTTGCTGTACAATATCTGAAATACTCTTTTCACATTTTACTGTTATCTGATAGGAGACTTTTATATCGAAGTCGTAACGTCAACCGATTTAAAAGGCAATTTTAGAAAACGTTCTAAAAGGCGAGTTCTTTCTTTTTCTTTCGTCGTTCGAAGTATGATAATAGCAAAATTAAGAAAAGATATTCTAGTGCTAGCAAATTGGCACCTCTGTCTCAAAAAGAAGAAAAATTCAAATCGTTTGGTCAAGTTACAAAAATGTTTCGAAATGTGTTTCTTAACTTTCATCCGTGATCGTAGAACCGCGTTCAATTTTGTAGAATCGTAAAATCGTCGACGAGTCGACGGACGTCGTACTAGTGATTTTCCGATCGTCCGGAGAAAGGTTTGGGGGGTGGAATGCAGAGACTCGAACGTCGCGGTGTAGATTTTTTTTTTCAGAGGCACAGTTATAAGAGACGTTTATTAGTCACCAAGGTACTTATTAAATGTACACTGAACGTATAAATGTACACCGAATGGCATATAAATCCAGGAGTACCGACTTGTACTATCCTCGGGAGTCATGAATAATTTGTATATCTACAGTACCGTCCGCGCGGTCTTCTTATCTACTATTTACAGCTGATATTTAATCGCCGGGCGCGGGGAACCTCGTTTCGCGCGACTGTGCGCAATAGTCTTTTCATCAGTTTTATACAACGCGTGTCAACCTGTCTCGAGCATGCTGAGAACACACATACACATAGAGACAAAGAGAACCGGAAAAGAAGAAAAAGGATAGAATCCCGGATCGAGCGTGCAAAACGGGGCTGAGACTCCCTGGAACGTAAAGACTGAGAAAAAACTCAGGCATGCAACGTAAAACAACAAAGAAATGTACAAATCACTCGGTCGTTCGCGACGAGTGCGGGCAAAATATGTATATCTACAAACGAACAAGACGAGATAGCACACACGTACATCCAAAACACGGACATCATGATGTCTATTATATATATATATATATATATTATATATACAACAGAATTCATATATACCAAACAGACTGTAACAATGATCGAAACACAACGGACAAAGTGGTAGAGAGTAAAAACATTCAGCTAAAAAAGAAAAAAAAATGAAATCCCTCAGAGTATTTCGGCTCGATAGGCCACGCAAGGAACTTCCCTCGAAGTTCGCGACATGAGATTCGCAATGAACTCGCGATTCTCGCGAACAGATTCGCAATTCCCAGTAGAAAACAATTCCGCTAGCTCGATCTCGCGACAAATTCTCAGCACTGTCGGACGACACGATCGGCGGTGTCTACTAATGCCCACACACTCACACACACACACACACTCTCTCTCTCTCTCTCTTTTTCTCTCTCTCTTTTTTTCTCTCTCTCTCTCTCGTTCTTTCTTTCTCTGTACAGAAAAAATCGATTCTCGCCGCGAGCACGCAGAGACCGGTCGTCCGGATCGAGGATCGAGGATCGAGATCGCAGAGTCTTCCGGGACGTTGAAAAAATCAAACGCCGCTCGATCTCGTCGCAAGACGTAATAAATAACGCGCTGCGAAACTATACAGTCTACCGATGATTATTTGCCTAGAATTGTACAACGATTCGTCACCTAAACAACGTTATCAAAAAACCATTATACTATTTGGTGTATCGATTGCACGCGACATCGTGACCGTTCTGTGGCGTTCTACGGACTCCGGAGCCATGGAACGGGCGGTCGACGAAGGAAAAATAAAGTGAATGAACGCGGTACCATTTCACGACGAATCGCTTCGTTCCGAATAAATTAGCACGGCGGGATCGTCGTAGGCGAAACGATACGGCGCAGGTAACGTTATCGCGAAGCAAACGATTTATTGCGACGGTTCTCGAAAGGAAAATTATGCTCACTGTCTTGGCCTAAGCCCGCCGGTTTCTAATTGGCACACAGAGACGCGGCGATCGCTACGCGTTCAGACGTTTCCACGAGAAACCGGTGCCATTTCGACCATTTCGACCGCGCAGCCGATGTACCCCGAGACCGATCGTTCCCGATCGAAAGTAAAATCGGCTTCTGGAACGGAACGCTCGCGTCTCGGACAATTAAGAATGAATTCTGCGCAGCCAGGTCCAGCTAACGAACCAAGTTTATAATTGGCGGAGGCGCCGCTCGAGCAATTTGAACGCGTGGCAAAAGATGGCTGCGAGAAAAAAAGAAGCAGCTCGGAAAAAGGAACGTGGACGCGTCGTTCACCGGCTCGCGCGTCAGCTTATACCTCTAATGCAACTTATCGTCCAGCTTAATACTTAGATTAGAGAATACTCTGTTACTGTACAATGGTAAATTATTGACGCTACACACGTGCGCGTCGCGGTAATCGGTTTTTTTGGGGGAGTTTGGGTTGGGGGAGGGGGACCGCGTCGAAAGCAAACGTCGTTCTGTTCGAAGAGAAAGGAATCGAAGTCGTCGAATGACCGGCACACATCTCCGATCGTTCTTTACACGTTTTAAATTACGGCGCGTATGAAAATATCAATAAATACACAGGGTGTTTCTTGATCCGAGGGGACGAACCCTAACCGTTTACGTTAAATTCCTCGCGAGATATCAAGAATATATCTATACGTTACAAGGCAATGGCGACGCGCGGAAATTTTGCTCGCGAAACGCGACCCCGATTACACCGTGTTTCTTTCACTTGCTCCTTTTAAAAAACGTCAGAGTCAAACTTTTCCTTTCCTTCCTTGCTTCTCTGTTTTTTTTTTGTTTTGTCATTTTTTTTCTCGTCGTCGTTTTCATCCCATGCTTTTTCTATGTTTTTTTTTTTTTGTTTTTTCATTTTTTTTCTCGTCGTCGTTTTCATCCCATGCTTTTTCTATGTTTTTTTTTTTTTGTTTTTTCATTTTTTTTCTCGTCGTCGTTTTCATCCCATGCTTTTTCTATGTTTTTTTTTTTTTGTTTTTTCATTTTTTTTCTCGTCGTCGTTTTCATCCCATGCTTTTTCTATGTTTTTTTTTTTTTGTTTTTTCATTTTTTTTCTCGTCGTCGTTTTCATCCCATGCTTTTTCTATGTTTTTTTTTTTTTGTTTTTTCATTTTTTTTCTCGTCGTCGTTTTCATCCCATGCTTTTTCTATGTTTTTTTTTTTTTGTTTTTTCATTTTTTTTCTCGTCGTCGTTTTCATCCCATGCTTTTTCTATGTTTTTTTTTTTTTGTTTTTTCATTTTTTTTCTCGTCGTCGTTTTCATCCCATGCTTTTTCTATGTTTTTTTTTTTTTGTTTTTTCATTTTTTTTCTCGTCGTCGTTTTCATCCCATGCTTTTTCTATGTTTTTTTTTTTTTGTTTTTTCATTTTTTTTCTCGTCGTCGTTTTCATCCCATGCTTTTTCTATGTTTTTTTTTTTTTGTTTTTTCATTTTTTTTCTCGTCGTCGTTTTCATCCCATGCTTTTTCTATGTTTTTTTTTTTTTGTTTTGCTTGTTTTAATGATTATAATGTACAAGTCAAATCATACGTTCCTTTTTGTTTTCTTTCCATCGGGTCTACATAACAGTGGGTAAATGCACTGTAGACCATCCCGAGAATGTTCCCCCAGAGGAAAAACGGTAAAAATTCCCTATGTTACACGACGATTGCAAATGTACAATTCCCGATCTGTGCTTTATACAGATTATATGTATAATATCACCTATGTACAAAATAACGTAAAAAGTAACAAGTGCTGGAAACGTGTAAAAATTGTGTAACAAAATAGGCTGATCCCGTTGACGAGGACGAAGAACCCGGAGTTTTGAAAAACCGACTATTTTAAATACGAATCGATAAATCGATTGCCCCGACATCGAATTTTTCCCCTAAAAGAGTGTATAATTTATGCAACGCGTTTCTAAAAATCGACGAATACCGAATAGGACGAGAATAGACGAAACAGATGAAAAATGAAGTGGAAGAAGAAATAGTAGTAGTAGTAGTAGTAGTGGTAGTAGTAGTAGTAGTAATGATAGAAGTAGTAGAAAAAATAGAAAGGCAGAAAAAAAAGAACAGAAACGAAAGAACACGGAAGATTCGAGCACACGCCCAGATCGAAAAAAAAAACCCGGTCTTTCCTCTCTTCGCCGAGAAGGTGTTCTGTACGTGTGTTTCCGCTACGTTCTCCTGGGGTCTTATATATTACTATTTTCCTTCTTCATTATATTCAGGTGAAAGAATCTCTTGTAAGCTCAAATAACTTAGTGACTTATACATAGAATAATAATATGTAAAATGAAAGAGAGAGATGTCATGCGTGTTTTATGCTACAGACGGTCACGACGCGAAGAACTGCTGCAGACGTTGCACCGTTCTACGATCCAGGGCGCACAGGTCGAAGTCAAACGTCTTCTTCGTAATCTCGTACTGGCCGGTCTCCGCAATCACTTGGACGACTCTCTGCAGCTCCTGGTTGTCCTGCAGAGTCATGATCTTTTGCTGCAAGTCTTTCAACTGGGACACATAGTCCTCGGAGAACACGGGTGGCTCGCCCATCTCCGAGTCGACCAGAGTGCTGTTCGTGGAGTCGGGGGCGACCTGCTCGGCCTCGACCTCGACGTTCTTCTCTGTTGCTTGCTCCGCAGCAGCCCTGTCCTCCTTCTCCTTGGCGATGTGCACCTGATCCTGATCGACGGCCACCGGCGATTGGCTCGACGAGACAGGCTCCAATGGCGGCGAAGTCGACGGACCTCGATCCTTTTCCCTTTTGACGACGTGCTCGTCATCGCCCTTGCTCTCGCTCCGCCGTTTCCGCTTGCGGATCTCTTTCTCCTCGCCCTTGCTGCCCTTCGGCTTCTCCCTCTTGTTTCTGTCCACTTTCTCCTTCTTGATCTCCGTCGGCATCGCTGGCGACATCGGCTTCGGCATCTCCGTCGGCGGCGTCGACACTGTCGCGTTCTCCGGCTCCTTCTTGGTCACCGGCTTTGGCTCCGAGAACGAATCGTCGTCCACCGAGGGCGCCGAGTCGCTGCTGTCCCTCTCCGGCATTTCCGATAGGAGGGCTAACAGGGGGTTGCCCGTCGACGCATTCGCGACATTGTTTTGCTTTTCCGAGGATGTCTTTATCCTGTCCCGTTTCTCCTTCTTGTCTCTCTCCTTGCTACTGTCCCGCTTGTCCTTTTTGTCCCTCTTCCTGTGCTTGTGCTTTTGCCTGTCCTTTTCACTCTTGCCATCTTTCGGCTTCTCCGACTTCTCAGTCTTCTCTGGTTTCTCTACCTTCGGAAGCTTCTCCTCCTTCGGTTTCTCTGGCTCCTTCGGCTGCTTCGGCGATTTCCGACCGTCCTTTGTCGATTTGTACTCTTGGCTCTTCTCTTTCTCACTTTTCTCTGGCTTCTCCGGCTTCTCGCTCTTCTTCTCACTGACCTTCAACGACTCCTTCGAGGCGGATCGCTCGCCCTCTTTGTACTTGTCCTTGCGCTCCTTGTCCCGGTCCTCTTTGTGCTTCTTCTTGTCCTTCTTCTTTTCGCTTTTCGACGGGTCCACGACGCTCTTCGAACTATCCTTGGTTTTCTCTTTCTCCTTGCTCTTCTCTTTCTCCTTCTCCGAGACCGGCTTCTTGAGCTCTTTCTCCTTCGACTTCGGCGACACTGGTCGCTTACTGGGTGGCAACGCAGACGGACTGGCCGGTCGTTTCAAGGACACCGGGGACGGTGGTCGCTTGTTCGAAGGGCTCGAGTGACTCTTCGCCCCCGGACTAGAGGGCCTTTTCGACTTGTCTTTGCTCCGATTCTTATTCTTCGACTGATCCTTCAGCTTCTTGTCTTTCTTATCGTCGATCTTCTCTTTCTTGCTGTCCTTGTGGGGCGAATCCTTCAGCTTCGAGGCCTTGTCCACTTTCTCGGATTTCTCCGCAGCGACCACCGGCTTCGGGGCCGACGACTTCTCCGGCTGTGCTGGCTTCTTCGTATCCTGCGAGACTTTCGTGGGCTTCAGAGGGGTGCCGAACAGTTCAGCGAAGGAATTCGATGTCTTCGACTCAACGGTCTTGTGCTTTTTCGTCTCGCTCCCGCTCAACTTTGGCTTGCCGACCATAGTTGGAGTCTTGATCTCGCTTTTCTCGGCTGAACTCTCGGAACTCGACACTATAGCCTGCAAAGATATATTCTCGGAAACTCTATTCGGACTTCGGCAAATCGAATTTCATGATAAACGCTAAGGTATTCCAATTTGTGGAGGATAAATTTATATTTAAGGAGCGTGTTTCAATTTGCGGAAGTTCGGGGAATAAAGTTTGTAAAAACAATGACTACGTAGAAGCTATACTTACGCCACCACCCTTCAGTAATTTTCGCCGGAACTCATCCGAGGGATTGTTAATTATCTCGGTGTGCCGCATCACGTTTGCAATGGCAGGACCACTGGTTTGCAAATGAAGATCATACAGTAACTCGATCTTCTTGGTTCCCTCATCTTTGTTCTTCAGGTAGATATGAATGGGGATTTCGAAGCCAGCATAACCAGACTCTTTCAGCTCGAACGGTGGTTCCTTCAGCACCCTCTTTGGTTTTGAAAATGTTTCGTGTAGTTGAAAAACCACTGAAATAAAAGATATTGCACGTTACATAGAGGCGCGTGGTTACAGAGAGAGGAATAAGAGAGCAATGAAAAACTTATATACCTTTCTCAACATAATGATGTATGTCAGCGTTCTGTACACCCCGCACAAACAGTTCCCAATCATGAGTGTAACCCTCTGCTGTGGTATGCGCACGTAATGTGGATGAGTGGCCGCATTCTAGCGTGATGCGAATTGCCATTCTCTGATATGAAATTTTCCAAAGGTTCTACTCCAAAGAAAAAGTAGAGGGAGTCGGTTGCCGCGGGTAAACACAGAGAATGAATTTACATTACATTTTTATTTATCTCTGTGAATGTGAATGAAACCGCTGGCGAATCCTCGACTATCAGGCCCATCACAGAGCGCTTGTGACGCGGTGAACCATCGTACGCCGACCTTTATGCTAGATGTGCAGGCAATGACAGCACTTCTCCCCTAATTTTCGTGCTCTTGAGATTCTGGTGCATCGTTTGGTTACACTTGTTCTGTATGAAAGTGTTAACCACCTCATTAGAACGGAATTGCGTTGCGAACGAGGTGTATGCCAGAAGCGATTCGCCTCGTTACAGTCGGGCTAATTCTATGGTTTTTCTACGGGCTGAATTCGACTCGATTATCAACAGGTAAACTTTACACCAACGAGAACTGGTCGCCATACTCGTTGCTCCGTACACCCGAACTTAATAATGTTCGGCAACCGCCATCTGGTGGACAACACTGTGCGTCTGGGGAAACTGTGCCAGTGCACACACTTTTTTTAGAATTTTGTCCAATGCTTGATGGAATTAGTGACACACTATTTATTATTAGAGTACCTTTTGGAATATTCCCGGTGTATTCAGTCGTTCTGAACCTCGAGGACTTCCCTTGGCAGTTAACCGCAGGTACTTAGGAATTCTGAGACATACTGAACAATATCCGGTGGAAATATGAGGGTAGGTATAGAAACTCCTTTTCTCTGATTGGTTGACGCTTCGCAGGTAAGCAGTGCTGACGTCATAGTTTTAGACAAAGAGGAGAAGTGGCGGGTGAATAAGAGAGCATGATATCAGTACAACCACAAGCGAAACAAGTCACACCGACGACCAATGTAGCTTGTCTCACTTTAGCATACTTGTGATTTCACCCTATTTGCACATAAGTTTGCCTGACGCTCCATCTGAAATACTCAGCGTGATATTCGGCTTGTACTTTTCTCCCTGTAGGATTCTTGACCACACAGTCCAGTGTCTTTGCGAACGTCATGAAACGGCGACCATTTCTACAATTATTAAAATTTTTGAAAACCTGGAAACTGCATTCTAGATAATACTTACTAGTTTATGAAATTACAAAATTTTGTTAATTCAGCCATCCCACTACTTGTCAATTTGCAAGAATTTGTGGCCTCACTGCGCACTTCCTGGCTCGCAATTTAGGGATGTAAACCGCGCGGCCTGGTGGGCTCGAAGCTGTAAAAACATTAATTAGGGCTCGGACATAGAGAATCTCCGCAGGTATCTAGGTACCTACTTTTAGATACTTACCAAATCTTTCCTTTGATTTCCATATTCAACAAACGGTTACAAAAGCTTGTAGAACATTAGATTTATTTCCAGCGCCAGGGGTACGGATGCGCGAAAAGAGTGAGATCGCAGGCACGATAAAGTGAGATGGCCTAGGTTTGTCGTCCGTGTGGACACTTGTAAATAGAGCCCGATGGTTTTGTTCTGTCTCTCTCGATCATCTCTCATTTTCTTTCTAAATCAACTGCGCTGAGCTGTATGTGCATTAAAATGGTGGGGATAAAAGCGCTCAGAATGAAGAGGTAGAAAATCGCTCGCTATGAGGAGGCACTACTGTACTTGGACGCTGGACACTTCCTTCTTTTTTTTAAGAATGTTTTATGGAAAATCCATCGCTAAAAATTTGCACTAAATTAGCAGAATGATATGTACTTTCTCCCAGCTCAATTAATAAACTGATATTCGAACGATAATTGTACATGTATAATATTATATCCTTGAGGAGTTACTATACACTCCATTCGGGGTACTCTTATCGAATGGTGGTAGCTATGCATTTAGAAAAATAACTAGAATGTTATTTACGATAAATTTAACCTGTAGACTGTCTGACCGAGTGTTGTATTTGTTTATTAACAAACATGTTGTCTACAATCATTAAAGAGCACCAAAGTAAACAATCAGCAAGGAAAGAGAGGCAAGGTAATTTGTTAAAATGCTATTATAAAATGCAAGATAATGTTTCGTAAAATCACCGAGAACTCTTGTCAATAGTAATGTTGTTTTGACAGAACAAAAGAGAAAAGAGGCTGTACAAGCAGCTAGTAATTTGACGCAGGCTTTGGTTGATCATTTAAATGTGGGGTAAGTGTAAGGTGCCATTTTATTTATGGTGCATCTGGATATTATAGCATATATGTGACTTTGTGATGCAGGGTGGCTCAGGCATATTTAAACCAGAAAAAATTGGATGCAGAAGCTAAGCAGCTGCAGCATAGTGCAACAAATTTTGCTAAACAAACACAGTCATGGTTGAATTTGGTGGAGTCATTTTCTAGTGCCCTGAAGGAAATTGGTGATGCAGAGAATTGGGCACGTAGCATTGAGGGGGACATGAGGACTATTGCAACTGCATTAGAGTACTCTTACAAAGGTAATTAATAGCTTTCACCATCATATTTTATGTAAATATGAATATTTTTATTTGCAGCAACTCAAGAAGCCCAAGGGACCAGTGCTACATGATCATATCTGATGATACAATAATAAGACTTAAATACTGTTATTATCTAAGAAACAGATGTAAGAATTATCGTGTATTGTTGTAAAATTTTCCTTATTTTCTGTTTATATTAATACATGTTGAAATAAAAGCGTCTTTTTACGTTGGGAGTATTTTTGTTAGGTTGGTAACAACTTGAAAATGGTTTTACGTCCTCAGAGCGTTGGCAACAGTGTTTCTCTGGTAATATTTTCAATTCCAGTCCTGCCAATGGTTTCTGTAAGGTAACCAGAATCTAACCTCAGACTCAGACGTTGTATTAATGAATAACTATGGCGGCTGGCCCGATTGCCGAACGTAATCAAGGTATATTTATTTTCTAAAAGAAATGTACTACAAAATCCTAACAATTCCTTACACTACAATATTAATTATATTTAAGTTTATGTCTGGTTATTTTATCCAGCACAAAATAACTAAAAAATATTAAACTGTGTTAGATTATTTGTACATAAACATTGATTTCGAAATTCTACACTTTTGACTGATAATTAATTCGTTCATAAATATTTTCAGATGCCACGATATACGTGGGTGGCCTCGATGACAAAGTTACAGAATCCCTTATGTGGGAACTGTTCGTCCAGTCAGGACCAGTGGGTGTGTTATTGTTTATTATTAATTTATTCATTGTTCTAAAATACTGACAGAAAATGTATTATTTTTCATTTATGAATTTATTTCAGTCAATGTCCACATGCCAAAGGACAGGGTGACCCAAATGCATCAAGGCTATGGGTTTGTTGAGTTCATGGGGGAGGAAGATGCGGACTATGCCATTAAAATAATGAACATGATCAAACTCTATGGGAAACCAATTAGAGTGAACAAAGCAAGTGCTCACCAAAAGAATTTGGATGTGGGGGCCAACATATTTATCGGTAATCTTGACCCAGAAGTGGATGAAAAGCTGCTGTACGACACCTTCAGTGCCTTTGGAGTAATTCTACAAACACCAAAGGTAATCCACCCTGAATCCTCTTAACCTAGCACCAAAAATTCGCTGCTAAATCTAATTTTCGTTTTAGATAATGAGAGATCCAGAGACTGGAAATTCCAAAGGTTTCGCATTTATTAACTTTGCCTCTTTTGATGCATCGGATGCCAGTATAGAAGCCATGAATGGCCAGTACCTATGCAACAGACCCATCTCTGTATCATATGCATTCAAACGCGACGCCAAGGGCGAAAGACACGGCAGCGCAGCCGAGCGATTACTGGCAGCACAGAACCCCTTGAGTCAAGCCGACAGGCCCCATCAACTTTTCGCGGACGCACCCCCATTGGCGCCTCCCCCAATGCCGAATTCCAGCGCGGCGGCTCATCAACAGAGTCATCATCCTCAACATCACGTGATGCATCACGGAATGGTCGTTCCACCCCCGCCACCTCCATCGACCCCAGGACCCCCGATGGGACACCCTCCACCTCCTCCAGTTCCACCACCGCCGTCCAGTGGTTTTCCTCCAGCAAACATTCCTCCGCCCCCTCTGCCTCCCATGTCAATGACAGCCCATCCACCTTTACCCCCTGGAATGCCACCCCCGTTGCCGCCGATGCCAGTTCCTACATCGCAGTCGCAACAAACGAACCCCAGGATGATGGCACCTCCGCCTCCTCATTGGGGCGTCGGTGGTCCTCCTCAGGGTCAGTTCCCACCACCACCACCACCCTCCGCCACCGGAGCACCACCGCCCCCGCAGTTTGGACAATTCCAACCTCCTCCACCCAGGCCTCCACCTGGCTGGAGACATCCACCGCCTCCTCCTGTGTCCCAGGGTGGACCTCCACCGCCACCGCCACCCCAATTCCGTCCACCGTTCCCTCCCAGAGGTCCTCCGCCTCCGCCACCTCCGCACGATTCCAATCAATATTAGTTTTACCTCTCGTTCGGACTCCTGACACCTTTGCCAGTCACTTTGTAAATGTAATATAAGCATTTCTACTGTGTTCATTGTACAAACGTGCGTTTCATAGCAGAATTTCCATAATAAATTTCCTAATCGACGATTCTATGTTTCATTGCTCGGAGCACAGCTCCCTCCTTTCAGCTCGCAACTCCGCCTATGCTTCTTTCGTTCACTTTGCTGAAGTGGCACTGTATTAATCGAATAAGCTGGATTGGAGATCGACAAGGTGCTGTCAGCAGTCATGCGGGGAAACTGTGTCCTAGAAGAATTGTATCTTGGAGAAACGTGTCCTAGAAGAATCGTATCCTGAGGAAACGTGTGCTAAAGCAAGCTCGGGCTAGAACAATTGCGCCATTTCGCGGACGAGTTTAAAACCGTGCCGGAGCTAGGCTGTTTAGCGTATCGATCGGGGCTCGCGTGTGAATAAGGACAAGCTAGGCTCGTTTTATCGATTATTTCGAGCCTATCCTGTCCAGTCGGTGATAACGGGGAACGGACAAATGAGCGGCAAAACAGTTGTCCCCGAGCCCGTCGACCAGACGAACCTGGCGGTCTCGCTTCTCGGCAACACCGGCCTCTGAAAAACCCGAGGGAACGAGGACCGTCTGCGCGCGTCCGCCGCATGTCACCAACCTGGTAAGTGAGGGGAACAGGTGTCTGGAACGGTAAATTAAGCGGCGCCGGCGTCGCGATGCATTCTGAAAATAACGCGATTTTTTTAGATCGTTCGTGACTCAATGCGGTGGCTCCATCGATCCGCCGGCTCCGCGCTTCTTCACGGCGGAATCACTGGCGCGACCGTTCCCGTTCGTTCCGGAATCAATCGTTCGGCGATCGAAGGGGGCTGGACAATGCTGGGCTCGCGACATGGCGCGGCTGTATTACGAGTGCAGCGTGGATTTCAGGAACTTCACCGGAGACACCACTGAGCCGATCAAACCGTACGCCTGCACCCCGGACAAGTACTGCTTATACTGTTGCTGCAACAATCAGTGTTGCGTCCTGGTGCAAAGACGGCCGCCACGACATTTCTGGGAAGCCTGGTACTTCTGGCTGGGCGTTGCTTTACTCGCTGTGTTTATCGTGTCTTCGGTAAGCCGACCGATTGCGTCCGCCAGCGGAAAAAGTTCGAGCACCGACCTCCAGAGGATAGTTCAGCTTCGCGACGATCGCCACTCGCTTCCTCCCTCCCCTTGCCATCATCTACTTTTACGTTCGGTTTTATTTGCAAGGTTCAAATCGATGAATCTACGAGTTCGCCTTCGATTTTCTTTGCAAGCTGTAAACTAGTCGCCGCTTTCCTTAAATTTGCCCGATCTACTTTTCTGCTGTTCTTTCGACGTCCGCAACGATTCGTTGCTTCCCCTAAATCGATCGATCCACTTCCGCGCTGGTCTTACGCTGGATCCTCCAGAGTCTAGAGCTTCGCCGCACTTGCTACTGTGTTCCTAAAGGTGAAAACATACTAATGCCACGTCACGTGAGCCTGCGCATTTCTACTATTTCAGATCTGTTAAAAAAAACGGATTGGTATCACGTCGCGCGAAGTCGCATGAAATTACGTGACGTGATCCTGATCTGTTTCAACATATTTGAAATAATATTAGATTGTGTAATAAGTCCGTTCGCGGACCTATGACACTTGGTAAAAGACAAGGAAAATTANATCGTATCCTGAGGAAACGTGTGCTAAAGCAAGCTCGGGCTAGAACAATTGCGCCATTTCGCGGACGAGTTTAAAACCGTGCCGGAGCTAGGCTGTTTAGCGTATCGATCGGGGCTCGCGTGTGAATAAGGACAAGCTAGGCTCGTTTTATCGATTATTTCGAGCCTATCCTGTCCAGTCGGTGATAACGGGGAACGGACAAATGAGCGGCAAAACAGTTGTCCCCGAGCCCGTCGACCAGACGAACCTGGCGGTCTCGCTTCTCGGCAACACCGGCCTCTGAAAAACCCGAGGGAACGAGGACCGTCTGCGCGCGTCCGCCGCATGTCACCAACCTGGTAAGTGAGGGGAACAGGTGTCTGGAACGGTAAATTAAGCGGCGCCGGCGTCGCGATGCATTCTGAAAATAACGCGATTTTTTTAGATCGTTCGTGACTCAATGCGGTGGCTCCATCGATCCGCCGGCTCCGCGCTTCTTCACGGCGGAATCACTGGCGCGACCGTTCCCGTTCGTTCCGGAATCAATCGTTCGGCGATCGAAGGGGGCTGGACAATGCTGGGCTCGCGACATGGCGCGGCTGTATTACGAGTGCAGCGTGGATTTCAGGAACTTCACCGGAGACACCACTGAGCCGATCAAACCGTACGCCTGCACCCCGGACAAGTACTGCTTATACTGTTGCTGCAACAATCAGTGTTGCGTCCTGGTGCAAAGACGGCCGCCACGACATTTCTGGGAAGCCTGGTACTTCTGGCTGGGCGTTGCTTTACTCGCTGTGTTTATCGTGTCTTCGGTAAGCCGACCGATTGCGTCCGCCAGCGGAAAAAGTTCGAGCACCGACCTCCAGAGGATAGTTCAGCTTCGCGACGATCGCCACTCGCTTCCTCCCTCCCCTTGCCATCATCTACTTTTACGTTCGGTTTTATTTGCAAGGTTCAAATCGATGAATCTACGAGTTCGCCTTCGATTTTCTTTGCAAGCTGTAAACTAGTCGCCGCTTTCCTTAAATTTGCCCGATCTACTTTTCTGCTGTTCTTTCGACGTCCGCAACGATTCGTTGCTTCCCCTAAATCGATCGATCCACTTCCGCGCTGGTCTTACGCTGGATCCTCCAGAGTCTAGAGCTTCGCCGCACTTGCTACTGTGTTCCTAAAGGTGAAAACATACTAATGCCACGTCACGTGAGCCTGCGCATTTCTACTATTTCAGATCTGTTAAAAAAAACGGATTGGTATCACGTCGCGCGAAGTCGCATGAAATTACGTGACGTGATCCTGATCTGTTTCAACATATTTGAAATAATATTAGATTGTGTAATAAGTCCGTTCGCGGACCTATGACACTTGGTAAAAGACAAGGAAAATTACACGAATTCAAAGCGATAGTTCAGATGAATTTTTAGATATGTTCTCGCGGGGCTAAGTTTATGCAACTTAGCTTAAACGAAAGCTGGAAGTGTCTGCTTCAAGACAGGGTAGATCAGATTGAAATTGTATAATTAAATACGTCATCGTCCACACTCACGAATACGTGTGACATGACATTAGTGTGTTTCTACTTTAAATCTCGCCGTCTTCGTTTCTCATCTATTTTGTTTCATCTCAGCTCTATCGTTCCAAGACAACTAAATCGCCGACAGATTTGGTTCAAGTTTTTCGCTGACAGAGATCCGCGCGAACTTTTTCCGGTCGCTGGTGTCTTCCTGGGACTATAAAACGGCAATTGAAAGCCTCCCGTTGTCTCTAACGAGTCATCCGATCGTCCCTCACGCGCCTGCCCGTGCATGTTTCGTCCTTAGACGCGCAGCAGCCACAGTAGCTACTTTCCGCGTAGTCCGACCAGGGCCATGCATTTCTCTAAGGGTGTTCTCGATTCCTTTTTTTTGGGCCCAGGTGAGCAGCTACATAGTCAGTAATTGCAGACATAATATTCAAGGTGTACCACTAGCGCACAACGCGCACGCCGCCAACAGGCAAGCCGACCGCGGCGGTCGTCCAGGAAGCGATCAGAACGAGGTATCGATAAGTATAATACCGACGTCGGAGTTTTTCCCATCGCACAGAAAAATGTTGGTAATCGCATCCCAGCCGGCCGTCAATCATCTCAGTGAGTATCAATCATGAATGCTCGAAGCTCGCACACACGATCGATGATCTCCAATTATAATCGGAACGAACCGCGGTCTCGCGCGATCCTCCATCGCTTACGAACGTAATCGCGAGCGACTCGACGAGGACGACGTTGATGCACGATTAATTCGCGACGAGTGCTTATCGATTTTCTAAAAAGAAAAAATATAGAAAAGGAAAAACGAGAACCAGGGCACCGACGAAACGGTCCTAGCGAAACTAGTTTGCCCGCGGAACGACGATCCTCGTCGCTCCGTCGATTAGGTTCGAGGATCGCCGATGATCCGCATCCAATCACGATGCGACGATAATGAGACCCGTGTGCATTGATTTATATTGCAGCCCCTGTCGTCGCATGAGGGCCGTTCCGATTTAACCGATCGATTATGTCGGCCAGAAGACAACGACGGAGGCAGCCGCAAGATGATCGCTCGGCATTACGCGCCGTAATGTCCTCTGAAAGACAGTGGGCCGCCTCGGCCGAGCTTTGATCTAACAGGACGCCCTCGTCGGGCGATTATGGCGCGGGGGGGCATTAACGATAAACGCGTCTTTTTACGCGGCCCCTCGCCTGTAATAACCGGTAACGGGTGAAACGACCCGATCGCGGCTAACAGACCGGCCAAATGAGCGACGATTTCAAACGAGATTACATCCACGGCGCGGCGGGGCGCGCCGAACCCGTCGTCGCCGTCGCGACACTCTTGATCGCTCTCAAGAGGACCGAGGATGTTTATCTGAAATTCAGCATAACAAATTTCCTATAGATTGGCCGGCTCTGCTCGCTCGAATATGTCCCGCGCAGCCTTCGTACAGTCCTTGCTCGGCCGCAGTTTGTGTAAATTGGCCCGTAAAAGCAGAATTTGCATAAACATCCGCGGGCTGCTCGCGAGAGATCGCAATCTGTGTCATTACTTCGTACATAGCTGCTTCAGCACGGTTAGAGGACGCGGCACCATAGAAAAAGATCCGCTGAATGCACCGCTGCCACGGCGAAAGCGTTTGCAACTCGAGGACGATCGTAATGGGTCGCCAAAAGACGTTTTTCATACGATGTTCTCCCTGGACTACTAATTGACCTGTTCCCCGCGTTGCAATTGTCCCGTCCGGCAGCATAATATCTTGTACCTGCACGAAACGAGCTCCTCTATCTTCTCCACATTAACCATTCGATCTCTCCGTAAGTTTCGGAAGGCAGCGACTATAGTTCGATAGAAACGCGTAGCCGTCCGCGCGAATGTTCGCCGAGTACAAATCGCAGGTCGGAATTGATTAGCTCTAAGTCGTTTCGGCATTTCTGAACACTCGAAGTTCCCCGGTCGGAGGTCTCCGGCTTCCATTTCGCCGAGCATGGTGCAACCGAGCCGAACGGAACTCGTTCCCGAATGGCCGCGACTCCCATTAACAATTAAGAAGACACGCTCGACGTACCTGGCCCCGGGTACCAAGAGATCGCTGGCTAATTAAAAAGGACAATCGAGGCGAACACGGCTCGAGAGCGACGCGCACTCTCTCTCTCTCTCTCTCTCTCTCTCTCTCTCTCTCTAACTCTCCCCCTGTCACCCCTCCTGCTCAGCGATCTATTCTTCTTCCCTCTCGATCCCGCAGTTCGCCTCCCTGTCCCGAGATCGATCTCGCGATAGCGTTTAATCGCGGTGATCTTCGTGGAAGAAAGAAACCCGGAGAAACTTGCATCGCGACAAGTCTCCCCGGCGATCATGCGATCCGCCGCGCGACGATCGATCGGGATCGACGCGCCGGACGCAGCTTCGTTTGCAAAGAATCGGCCGCGAGTTTACCGTTTGATATTATACTTCTACGCGGTCTTTCGGCTAGAGGTTTCATCTTGATTCAACGAACATGTATTTTTGACGAAGTAAGGTACGATTTTTGTTTCAATGGGCCAAGGAAGGTTTGCCGTTAACGATGGAAAACAATGTCAGCCGAACGCTCTCCAATTCGGCTCTATTTCGTCCAAATAAAAAACACACTACAACTAATTCTGATCAACATTTGGAGAAATCACTCTGCGAGGAGTTTTTATCGCCAAAGAGCAACGCCTCGGCCACTTGCGTGGCACGAAGCGCCGTCTTGTTGGAAATAATTTATGTTACGTTTATTTGAATGTTCACAATTTCGACGCGCCGTTGAACACGCGTATCGTTCGATTTTTATTAATAACATAGTTTGCGCTTAGCGTCTGTTAACGCCAGCGAATTGTTCGACAGACGGCGAACCTATTCGAAGTGAAAGCTCCAGCTGAAAGAACCTGTACTATCCGTACGCGTAATTACTGGCTGTGATGATGTCAATTGGAAAAGTAGAAACCGATAGCCGCGCGCGCGTGGCGTCACCGGTGTAAAAGTTAGCTCGTTAGCCGATCGGTGTTTTTTAATTGGATGCACCGGATTAATATGCACCGAAAGAAACACGTTTGACATTCTCGCACCGGTGTGCGGCCGTGGCCGCTCGTTCGTGTGTCTCTAATTAGCTGCGTAGGACGCCGGTGGAAAAACGGCGTCCCATTAGCATGTAAGATTCGGCGAACCGGCCGATCGCGGAAAACCTCGAATAAAAGGATCCAGGTGTGCGCTACGTTTTCACGAGTCTCTCTCTCTCTCGGCGTTCTTTTTATTTCCCCTCGTATCCCACGCTGCAACGCGCTCGCTCGAGACACCCATTTAGCCGGCAGCCAACGGGCCTCGAAGTTTCACACTCGAGGAACTCCAGTTCTCACGATTGAGTCGTTCATTTAATTCGCGCTAATTATGCTAACGCGGGCGGGCTCGCCGCTGCGTGCGCCGTCGATCCACGGCGAGCGCATCTCGCGGCAAAAAGTGTATACCCGAGACTTTATTCCTTCGGCAACTTGGCCGGGGTGTCAGCCGTGCAGACCGTCGAGCCATGCTCTATCGGCTTCTTATAAAATGACAGAACACAGAGACACGGCGAGATAGATGCTCTTTCATCGTTGTGCGCGCTAAATTCTTCAAATTAGAGTCGGCACTTCGAGATTCGCTAGAAACTCGAAGCCGAAACTTTGCGAGATCTCGGCACTCGGGACGCTTATTCTTCTCCTTTCTTCTCTGAGGAGTACCTATTTTGTCAGGAATTAAAATCCTGTTGATTTCAACAATCCTGGAAACTCTTTTCAGAAATCGAAGTTGCTCAAATAATTGACTGATTGTGATAGTTTGTAAGGCTCTCGGATATTATTAGATATATAAAAATTATATTTACTGTTTACTCTGCGTTAATGGATCAACAACATTATCCATCGATGGCATTTTTAACGTCACTTAAAACAGTGAACACGTTCTCTTCGATATCATCGCGTCTTTCTGCGAAGCTTCGCGAAACATTTACCGCTGTTCCAGCTTGCTCAGCCGATACCGGCGCGGCGGTACCGTTAGAAAAGGGCCAGCATTGTCTCCCGTTTTCCAGCGTTCGAGAGAATTGCAACGAGGACGGTGGAAGGGGCCTGCAGGGAACCGAGTACGGCCGTGATCGAGCGCCGGGGCAGCGCGTCCGCCGGCTGGATCGGGATCGCGGCTCGATCGCGATACATTTCAATAAATTAGCCGCGTGAAAGAAATCCTTGTGCTCTCTGTAAATCTTTTTACGGCGGCCACTCGATCCGGCGCGCGCAATAAGAAGCGGTACGGGAGCAGACTGGCGGCGACCTCGTTCGACTGTAACGAAGTGTCATTCCGATAACCCAGGCAGGCTTTTACTGTCACTCGACGGACGACGATAAAGAAATGTGCAACCGGCGGGGCTCTGCTTAATGTTGCATGGACAGGAAAGCCGAGCGGGGAATTAAGCTCCCCGTCCCGGCTGGATGCTAAGCGTCCGCTGCCGCGGATGCCACTGGCTGCGATTGAGACGTCCGACACGATCGCGAACTGTGCACGGATTTCTTTCCGCGGAACGTCCGGGGAGACGTCGTCCGATCGAACGGAAAAAGGAGAAAATCGGCGATATCCGTGAGAGATAGAGAGAGATCGTCGTGGTTCGGACTTCGGCGTCTCCTGTTTCGCTGGCCGACCCGTCGAAGATCGGTTACATCTGGACGGGCCGGCGTCCATCAACGAGAGATACGAACGCGTTTACAGTCTAGACGTTATTGTTCCAATAAATCGGTCGAATTTACAGGATATTCCGCGGCGACGAGGAGAAATAAAAGCCGGGGAATAACGCGGCCGGAGAGTGTCTTTTAAGAGCGCGACGACGGGTAAAAATGTGCTCGAATAAAGTAGTACGCGAGACGAGGCACCGGGACGAGAGATCGAGACGACGACGCTTATACGCCGCGACGTAAATATCGCGAACAATCTCGCCGATTTTTCAGCCCGCCGAGAGAATCGTCGACGAGCTGCGATGCATCGATCGGCGATCGTGATCCACGGTTACCGTCGATCCGAAGCGATCAAAGGCAGCGGACCTGCATCTGGAAGCCGTCGTCTCGCAGAAGTGTCCCGCGGCTCCGCGTAAACGCGTACGCCCGGATCCGCGGCGTTGTTGTCCCAATAAATCGGCCGGCTTTAAGAGGCCTCGGCGCACCAGCCGCGCGCAAAAAAGAGCGCCGCGAACGCCGGCGAAAGCGCGAATAAATTGCGGACACGGCGGCGGGAATTACGGCGACCGGAGGAAACGCGAGGAACGGAACGCGGCCAGGACGAAGGCAATTAGTCGCCCGGATAAGTCCCTAACCGCAACAACATCTGTACCCGCGATTTTTCGCTGACGTATGTGTCCCTGGCACCAGGAAAAACCAGCCGCGCTGCTCTTAAATCCGTGAACGTTGACGGCGAATCCCGCGACATTTCGGATCGGTGTACGACACGCGTTTCTAGACGATTTTTTTTAACGTTCCCGCCGACTATTTTTACTGGAGCAAAAGAGATATTGTTTGCAGATGCTGCGCTCTGATTCCGAGCATCGGCATTCCGATCTCTGATCAGATCGCGGGGCGAAGTATGCATGTAGCTGCTTCGAAATCCAATTGTTAATCAATTGGTCGCGTATAGAAAGGTTTGTTCAATGTTTCATAGAATGATCGCAAACCTCTTGCAAACAGAATTTTGTATGCACCGATTTCCACTGCCGTAGCGCAGGACAACAGGAGTATTTTTAATCCGATTAACGATTATAATTCGTTAGTTGTTGAAACGAATTTATAATGATTGGGTAAAAGGTAATTGGACGAGAAGTAATCTGATTGACGGTTATAACTCGACAGGTAAATCAGAATTTATGATAACCAATACAATGCCGAATTATTATAAATTATTCATAATAGCTGACAAGTTATAATCGTCGATCCCCGATCAGATTACTTCCCGTCCAATTATTATAAATTAGTTGCAACAGTTGACGGCTTGTAATCGTCGATCCTTAATCGGATTGCTTTTTGCGCGACTCCGCACAGTCCCAAGGGTATCCGAATCAATTTTCACGGAATTTTTAGGATCTCAATTATGATACTTCGTAGTCGAGACGTCGATCCGCTCCAGGGTTAAGCTGGCATTGACTTCGGAGGTTGCACGACGAATGGAGAAATTAAAAATCCATTGCGTGGCCGACCGTGGTCCTCGCCGGGCCCAGGCCTCCGGAGGCTCATTAAGCGTAGATGACCAGAGTCGTAATATGTTCGAGCGTTGTTCCGATGGCGGAGATACATCGTTACGAATTCCTTTCCCCTGGGCCCGGCCGTCTCGTCGCACGGCCACGGAAAAGTGGACGGCCTCTTCGTGAAGGAAGCCGATCTGGAGGGGCCCATTCGGTGTCGGCCGAGGCGACAAAGCTATGCGATCGGACAAATGTCGCCGATGACGGAATTAAAATAGGTATAGAAGTAAATTCGTGAGGTGATGTCGCGGTTCATCGGGCGGGGCGGGGGCCGCGGCGGGAAAACGATGGGAATAGAAAGAGTGCGGCAGCGGAAAGGAGCGAGAAGGACGGCGCGCGGGAGCTCGTCTTCCAGTGGGAGGTACTAAAATTAGAGAAGCCCACGCGGGCTGGCTGTTTCTTCTTGAAGCTTCCTTCGGACATTTTCAAATAGTCCTTTACGCCGATAACACGCGGTGTTTTCGCGACGTCTCGGCTGTCAGTCGCCGCGACAGGCGCCGCGATTCTGTGTTCGATCGGCCGGAGCGAGTGTCTTCCTCGGTTATACGGTCTCCTTGGACTCCGACGGGCGAAATACTGGCGCATCCTCGCTGCACCGACGGCCATAATAATCGGCGTGTTATCGAGAAACGGACCGGTGCACCCTGTCTCCGTAGCCTGCACTCGGACTCCGATAGTCGGCTCCGCCGATCCTTCGTCAACGAGAGGAGGCTGCTCTCGGTATCCCCGGGCTGTTAATCGCGTTATCTTCATTGGGATCGCTCCTGCATTCGATACAGGCCAGCTCCTCCCGACATGATAACGCCGACCGGCCTCTTCTGCACGCGTTCCGATCGGTACTCGAGCAGATAGCGGGGCCGAGGAACCTGCTCCGAGTCCCTTATCAATGAAATTGTCCGGGCCGCGAGTCCTGCTCGCCGCGCTAAGTGATTCCTAGCCGATCCTTTTCATTATATTGAGCAGCCTTCGCGATTCCCGGAGCGCTCGGTTCCGGCCAAGGCACCCGGCATGCATTCCGATCGATCGACCATCGAGCCGGCAATCTGCATACATTTCCTCCTGATGCTCCTAGTTTGTCTGTCGGGCTGCGTGGAAGGTGAGTCGGCCGGTTTCACGGCGGAAAACCGCCGACCATTTTTTCCGCCGCGATATCAACCGATCTGGGCGCGCGACCCGATCGCGAGCCAAGATAGACCCGCTTTACGAGCCGCGCACGCGACCAAATCGAAACGTAATAGCCGCCACGCACGAACCAGGGAAATCTCGAAAATCCGTTGATGTCCGCAGGCAGGAGATGCGTGTGCACCAGCAAGGCCTGCAAGGAGGCAGGCGTCGACACCTGCAAGACCAAGTTCTCTTGCTACACGGAGCTCATACTCACCGGGGACCAGACGCTCGGCGAGAATGCTACCACCAGGGGGTGCACCGAGTTCGTATACTTTCGAATTACTAATTGGTAATACGTATCGAGAAGTACGGGGAACGTTCGACCAATTACTGAGTGAAAAAAATTCATTTTAGTGTTCTGTAGAGATGAAGTTATCAGATGCCCTCAGACTCCGAAAAATTCGGAAAATGAATTCCACTAGTCTCAGTAACTGGTCCAAAATTTTGCTATCCACCTAGGGGGACGAGTTACTGAGACTAGTGGGATTGATTTCCAGACAGATCCAAAAATCTCGGAAATGAATTCTACTAGTCTCAGTAACTGGTCCAAAATTTTGCTATCCACCTAGGGGGACGAGTTACTGAGACTAGTGGGATTGATTTCCAGACAGATCCAAAAATCTCGGAAATGAATTCTACTAGTCTCAGTAACTGGTCCAAAATTTTGCTATCCACCTAGGGGGACGAGTTACTGAGACTAGTGGGATTGATTTCCAGACAGATCCAAAAATCTCGGAAATGAATTCTACTAGTCTCAGTAACTGGTCCAAAATTTTGCTATCCACCTAGGGGGACGAGTTACTGAGACTAGTGGGATTGATTTCCAGACAGATCCAAAAATCTCGGAAATGAATTCTACTAGTCTCAGTAACTGGTCCAAAATTTTGCTATCCACCTAGGGGGACGAGTTACTGAGACTAGTGGGATTGATTTCCAGACAGATCCAAAAATCTCGGAAATGAATTCTACTAGTCTCAGTAACTGGTCCAAAATTTTGCTATCCACCTAGGGGGACGAGTTACTGAGACTAGTGGGATTGATTTCCAGACAGATCCAAAAATCTCGGAAATGAATTCTACTAGTCTCAGTAACTGGTCCAAAATTTTGCTATCCACCTAGGGGGACGAGTTACTGAGACTAGTGGGATTGATTTCCAGACAGATCCAAAAATCTCGGAAATGAATTCTACTAGTCTCAGTAACTGGTCCAAAATTTTGCTATCCACCTAGGGGGACGAGTTACTGAGACTAGTGGGATTGATTTCCAGACAGATCCAAAAATCTCGGAAATGAATTCTACTAGTCTCAGTAACTGGTCCAAAATTTTGCTATCCACCTAGGGGGACGAGTTACTGAGACTAGTGGGATTGATTTCCAGACAGATCCAAAAATCTCGGAAATGAATTCTACTAGTCTCAGTAACTGGTCCAAAATTTTGCTATCCACCTAGGGGGACGAGTTACTGAGACTAGTGGGATTGATTTCCAGACAGATCCAAAAATCTCGGAAATGAATTCTACTAGTCTCAGTAACTGGTCCAAAATTTTGCTATCCACCTAGGGGGACGAGTTACTGAGACTAGTGGGATTGATTTCCAGACAGATCCAAAAATCTCGGAAATGAATTCTACTAGTCTCAGTAACTGGTCCAAAATTTTGCTATCCACCTAGGGGGACGAGTTACTGAGACTAGTGGGATTGATTTCCAGACAGATCCAAAAATCTCGGAAATGAATTCTACTAGTCTCAGTAACTGGTCCAAAATTTTGCTATCCACCTAGGGGGACGAGTTACTGAGACTAGTGGGATTGATTTCCAGACAGATCCAAAAATCTCGGAAATGAATTCTACTAGTCTCAGTAACTGGTCCAAAATTTTGCTATCCACCTAGGGGGACGAGTTACTGAGACTAGTGGGATTGATTTCCAGACAGATCCAAAAATCTCGGAAATGAATTCTACTAGTCTCAGTAACTGGTCCAAAATTTTGCTATCCACCTAGGGGGACGAGTTACTGAGACTAGTGGGATTGATTTCCAGACAGATCCAAAAATCTCGGAAATGAATTCTACTAGTCTCAGTAACTGGTCCAAAATTTTGCTATCCACCTAGGGGGACGAGTTACTGAGACTAGTAGGATGGATTTCCTGATAGATTGGGGTGCCAGTGTAGATCAATTTTTTGTAAATGTTATACATACGCTACAAGATTACTGTGCGTCAGTTAGGGAGACATTACTGTATTTGGTCGATAGGTTCCGTGCGAACAGTTTCATGTTTCATCCATTGATTTTTATCGGACGCGCGTCAACGTCTAGTCGCCACTCCGACAGACTGGACATTTTGCAGATAGCATAGTTCATAGCCATTTGTCTCCCTGATGTTGATGGGATTCCAGAATGTCGCGTAACTCTTCAAGATACAGTTTCTATACTGTTGCGTTGTCCCATTTTTCTTTTCACTCCGAAGTCTCGTAGAATGTTACTCGCGTTCCTTAAAACTTGTTTCTGATGCTTTGTGTTTCACCTATTCATCTTCTTCAGCAGCATATCGCCGTAATTTTTTTCTGGATGTCGATGGCGATCCGGAATATCAATCGTCTTTTCATGATCCATTTTCTATTCTGTTTTGACGCGCTATTTTTCTTTGCAACCGAAACTCGTGCAGAATCTTATTTGTTCGTTTTAATCAGAAACATATGATCGTTGCTCTTCCGAGTGCCGAAGACCGTCCAGGATCTCAATCGTCTCTTCGGGGCTCATTTTCTCCTCTTTCCGATGCGCCATTCTTTTTCTAATCGAAAGTCTCGTGGAATGTTCTTCGAGTCTTACCGAATCTCCTCCGAGTCCCTCAAAACTTGTTATCCGTGGATTTTACCTACTCATTTCAATCAGAAACACATAATCGCTTCACCTCTGAATGTCGATATCGATCCGGGACCTCGGTGTGCCTCCTCAAGGCCCATTTTCTTCTCTCTTTCGACATGCCACCTTTTTACGGCCGTCGAACGTCTCTTAGAATCGTCGAAAGCGAAGGAACTCGAAGCCGACCAACGTTCCCCCAAGTTAGTACATCGCAGCTTCGCGGTTCGTGCCGATATTCGAGGCAAAGCTCTATCTCGAGTGGAAAGCGGCTCCCCGACCTCTAACCTTTTCCTGTTATTCGCCAATAAATTCCGTCCGGCACGGGCGAGCCGACTCGCCTCGAAAACGATTTAATTTGCCGGTTCCGACGATTGACGTCCGCGCTGCCTATAAATTCACGGACGCTGCTCGCCGCGCAGATAACCTTGACGAGATAATCGGCAACGTAAGGTTTTCACGAATTCTTTCGAGCAGCGAGGATCGCTGACGCGAGAAAGATATCGTGACCGGAGGGCGGGGAGGTGAGAGGGGCGCTCGTGGCTTTTTTTCGGCTGTCCTCTTTTCTCCGCGGCACCGCTGCCAATTAAATTCGCGGCGGTATTATCTGGGCGGAGATAACGGAATATCAATTACCAGATTACCGTGAAGACGAGGAATCAATTTTTACGAGAGATAGACGCTGGAAAACAACATGAGTCGACTTCCTCGGGACGTCTCCTCTCCCGCGAGAGGAGAGGGAACCGAGATCTCTCTCTCTCTCTCTCTCTCTCTCTCTCTCTCTCTCTCTCTCTCTCTCTATCTATCTATCTATCTCGCTCTTTCTCTGTCTTTCTCGTAAATCGCGCAGATCGGTTATTTATTGGAAACGGCCGACTATCGGCGGGGTCACGGAACTTTATCGAACCGGGCCCCGGCTTTATCGGCTCGCTGCTCGTTGCATAGGGGTGCCACGCCATTGTTGTGCGAGACAAAGTCCTGGGTCACGAGGTCGAAGCCGGCAGACAACGCGGACCGATCGCCGTCGGCAGCCTGGATCCGTATGCCCTGGCCCAGATTGAAGTGTTGCGACAGCCACGACTACTGTAACGCCGACAGCCACGTGAACTTCTCCACGTGGACCAGCGACAAAGACAGCGCCGTGGACCCCGCGGCCACCACTTCAGACTATACCGGTAAACGCAACCCCGGCCCCCTTTCCGCAATCCTCTGATTTCGTAATCGCGCGATCTACAAGCGAACCGAGCCGTCGAAATGCTCCGGCGCACGTCCCGATCCGAACCAACGGGTTTCGGACACGATTTTATTATAGTAAACTGATCTCGTGGGCCCGAAGTTCATTCCACCCGCGTCCAACATTTCCGATTCATTATTTATGGAAAAATGGAGGAAGCGATGGACACGGCGATAACATTCGTTTCTTGCGAACAATTCGATGTTCTAATTCAATATTGAGACATTTCTTTGAAAAACCCGATTTGAAAATGTTCTACTATTTTATAACAAATAGTATTAGCTGGATAATGTAATAATGACATAGTATGTCACTGTTCCATTTCAAATTATTGACAGGTGAAATATGAAATAGTGGAAAAATTGAAAGAAGGCTAAGAATGTTGATGTATTAATCTCAACTTGTAAAATTACATGGGAAAGGACAAAACTTGTACTTGGCTCCCATGTCTTGTAATTGACGCAGACATTTTGTACGTGTTTCCTTCATGAGATTCCTCGGCTAATTAATAATTCGATTCAACTCGGTTTACCCTTCGCCGTACAATATCTTTCACAAATTACGATGACTTACTTGAATACTTAAATATTGCGACGAAAAGAACAGGCAAAATACATCGTTGCATACCTTCGCGATTAAAACAGACCACGTGGCAAATAAACACTCATTTGCCAGATCGATTTCTGTATCGAAGCTATCTGTTGAAATTCGAGACTACCCTCCATGTCATTGTCACTCTAACCCAGCCGATTTTTGCATCTCCAATTGCATCTCCACGGCACAGATCAAAGGACGAACGATGTTCCAACGATGTGTTCTCTGTTCAGGCTCGTTGAACGGATTATCCTCCGATCGGAACACAATGGGATCGATCCAGACCGAGCCGGGGCTGACGGCCGGTGGCCGGGAATCGGATCAGCTTCTTCAGAGCCGCGTGAAGCCGTTGCACGTCGCCGCCCTGGTGCTGGCGATCGCAGCCCTGATATCGGTCCTAGCAGCCTGCTACGTTATTACAAGGTCTGCGAATTTTTCTTATCGCGTTCACCGTGTTCCCCGGCGGCGGATCGCGTGCGACTTTCGCTGAGAAAGGTGTCGGATCTCGCGCTACTTTTTCAGCGTCTCGCATTCGCGCGCCGCGTGGAAAAACAACGCTGCCGAATCGTTTCAATAAAGTCCAGAGTTTACGGCGCGAGCGGCCAGCCGGGCTCCCTCCGCCGCACACACGCGCGCACCTACCGTTCCTGTTTTTTTGACGTACTGCCAGAAATGTTTTTCGATTCCTTTCACCCGCCGGTATTTTATAAACAAGTCCCGCCGCCCGTTTGTTTCCACTGCGCCTCCTACGTTCCCGTACGACCCGCCCTGTCCTCCATTCCGCGCTCGGAGATGCAAGTTTCTTCTCTCAGAAGTATTCGCCGACAATGACTTCGTCGCGAGGATTTCGTCCGATGACGGCAAATTGGGTACAGACGTGATTTTAAAAATCGGGTATTAAAAAACGTCATACAGTAATGTCTCCCTTACTGACGCTCAGATTGTCCACTAAATTGGATAATTTGGGAAGAGGAGATACGATTATTCGAGCCTTGCGGCTCGTTTTTATAATTGTGGACAATTTATAATTATAGAAATAAACCGCAAGGCTCGAATCTTCTTTGAATCTTCGTTCTGTAAAGATGAAATTATCACATGCCCTCAGACTCCCAAAAATTCGGAAAATGAATTCTACTAGTCTCAGTAACTGGTCCAAAATTTTGCTATTGACCGAGGTGGACCAGTTACTGAGACTAGTGGAATTCATTTTCGGGACAGATCGGAAAAATCCAGAAAACCAATTCCACTAGTCTCAGTAACTGGTCCACCTAGGTCGATAGCAAAATTTTGGACCAGTTACTGAGACTAGTAGGATGGATTTCCTTATAGATTGGGGTGCCAGTGTAGATCGAATACGAAGCAGTGACATTTCATTTTTGTCTCTGGATCACCGAGCAGCGGTCCGAAAACTGTTTTCTTGACCCGGGCTCCCGAGCAATTTGCATNGATCAAAGGACGAACGATGTTCCAACGATGTGTTCTCTGTTCAGGCTCGTTGAACGGATTATCCTCCGATCGGAACACAATGGGATCGATCCAGACCGAGCCGGGGCTGACGGCCGGTGGCCGGGAATCGGATCAGCTTCTTCAGAGCCGCGTGAAGCCGTTGCACGTCGCCGCCCTGGTGCTGGCGATCGCAGCCCTGATATCGGTCCTAGCAGCCTGCTACGTTATTACAAGGTCTGCGAATTTTTCTTATCGCGTTCACCGTGTTCCCCGGCGGCGGATCGCGTGCGACTTTCGCTGAGAAAGGTGTCGGATCTCGCGCTACTTTTTCAGCGTCTCGCATTCGCGCGCCGCGTGGAAAAACAACGCTGCCGAATCGTTTCAATAAAGTCCAGAGTTTACGGCGCGAGCGGCCAGCCGGGCTCCCTCCGCCGCACACACGCGCGCACCTACCGTTCCTGTTTTTTTGACGTACTGCCAGAAATGTTTTTCGATTCCTTTCACCCGCCGGTATTTTATAAACAAGTCCCGCCGCCCGTTTGTTTCCACTGCGCCTCCTACGTTCCCGTACGACCCGCCCTGTCCTCCATTCCGCGCTCGGAGATGCAAGTTTCTTCTCTCAGAAGTATTCGCCGACAATGACTTCGTCGCGAGGATTTCGTCCGATGACGGCAAATTGGGTACAGACGTGATTTTAAAAATCGGGTATTAAAAAACGTCATACAGTAATGTCTCCCTTACTGACGCTCAGATTGTCCACTAAATTGGATAATTTGGGAAGAGGAGATACGATTATTCGAGCCTTGCGGCTCGTTTTTATAATTGTGGACAATTTATAATTATAGAAATAAACCGCAAGGCTCGAATCTTCTTTGAATCTTCGTTCTGTAAAGATGAAATTATCACATGCCCTCAGACTCCCAAAAATTCGGAAAATGAATTCTACTAGTCTCAGTAACTGGTCCAAAATTTTGCTATTGACCGAGGTGGACCAGTTACTGAGACTAGTGGAATTCATTTTCGGGACAGATCGGAAAAATCCAGAAAACCAATTCCACTAGTCTCAGTAACTGGTCCACCTAGGTCGATAGCAAAATTTTGGACCAGTTACTGAGACTAGTAGGATGGATTTCCTTATAGATTGGGGTGCCAGTGTAGATCGAATACGAAGCAGTGACATTTCATTTTTGTCTCTGGATCACCGAGCAGCGGTCCGAAAACTGTTTTCTTGACCCGGGCTCCCGAGCAATTTGCATTCGTTCGATTCTGCCGGAGTTCGCCGTTTTAATTCGGAGCCTCGATATGGAAGTTCGTACATAATTGTAATTGCTTGGCATTGGTCGCTGGCATGGCCGGCATGCGGCGAATCGATCGCCGCGACGCTCCGCGTGGAAATTCACGATCGAAGACGAAAGAGAGCCCCGGATACGTTTCCGCGGGCCGGGACGGAAGGGCCGGGACAGAAGGGCCGGAATACAAGGGTCGTGCCAGGAAATTCTGTCGGCTAACAGCTCGCCGGTCTCCGTCGAGGTATGCCCTTATTAGCTCGCGTGTTTTCTCGCATCGCTTCGCTCGAAAGCGGAGCGTATGAAAAACCTTGTGCTAATATTAACTCGGCGACCCGTTAACAATCACCGGTTCGCGTAGTCGTGGCGAGCTACAGGCCGGCGAGGACCGTCTCTAGCCGGCGTTATGGTCGATTCAGTTGTCCGCGGCGTCGAAAATCGATGCCCGGCCCCGTTAAATCCGAGATTATCGGCCGGAGCCGGACAACTCCGACTTGATATATCGCCGGTATTAATACATCGTATACAACGAGTCCTCTTATTGCCGATCCCGATAAACGCCGCACGCGCGCCCTGTCCCGCCTTCGATATCTCTCGATGAACAATCGATCGCGACTGCTCCGTTCCACCGTGGAATCTAGGATCGTGCACGATTCGGCGCCATAATTTTCTACCGGGCCGAACCTCCGCGCGTTCTATGCCTCCGGCAGGTTCGACGATCTGTTGAGCAACCTTCTTTTCAATCACCGTTGTTACCGATTGATTTTCGATCGCCTGAATCTACGCACCGATGCATAATCGACTGCTCGCCACTGCCCACTCGCAACATTCTTTCTCGCAGGAGCTTCACGTACCGGAGTGTACACACTCCTCTTGTCTCCCTCTCTTGTGCACACATCTCTCGCAAGTTTGTATTTAATGTAGCAAAGCAAATATGTATAACATCGCCGCTCCTCGCAGCTGAGCACGCTTCTTTCCCTACCAATTCCTCTCTGTTTCTTATATTTCGACGTACACGATCCCTCCGCTTCCTGTTCCTCTTCCCTTCTACCCCAACGAACGCTGCGCATTTTTGCCTCGTTAAGGGATTTTTCTCCTAGCGTAGAACGAGTATTTTTTTTATTTCATTTTTTTTATTTATTTCTTCCGACAACCGCAGTTCGAGGGTGAATTACTCAATTCTCAGCAATTGAATACAATAAATTGCTGTCGCATTTAGAAATAACGGACGGATTAATAAGCCTGCAAGAAGTATCGTCGAAAATACGTTCGAAAAATCTTCCGAAATATCTTAAAGCATTACGGTAAAAAACGTTGCGTCGCGTTCGAAAATCCTCAAGGTCCCGCAACGATCGTCGCGGCCGGTTAGCTTCGAATTATTCCGCGATAAAACTTAAACGGCGCCGCTTTACGACGCCAGATTAAACCTGCAAGCGCGCGTCCGGTCGCGGCGACGATCCCGACGCATTTCGCACAGACGAGTACCGAACACGCGTTAATATTATTTAACCGGATCCACGAAGCGGCTGCCATTTCGCCGGGACTCCGGGGCCAGTTCGGGGGCTCTTTATTACCCGGGTCTGGCTGCTCGTTTTTCCGTGGGGACCGATTCCATCCGGTCGGGGATCGGCAAGGCGGCCGGTTTGTCGCGTCCCGGCGCACTAAAAGCGGCGCGCAACTGGCCCCGTTATCAGCCGGCCTCTTCCGAGGGACCTCTCCGGGAAGATAGCGGGCCCGTGGGCCCACCGGGGGTCTGCCCTCTAATCTTCGGCCCCCGAACGGCTAAGTGGGTTTTCGAGTTCGGGAATGTCTCGGGCCCCCGGCCTCGTGTCCACCGTCTCGGACGCGTTGCTCTCTTTCCTCTTTCTTTATCTCGCCTCGCAGCGTGTGTTTCGAGTGTCCTGTCCCAGCGGCGGGCCCCGGCGAGGAGGAGCGGGGGCCACGACGTTCCTTTCCCGATTTCTTCGTGTTTCACACGGCCCCGGCCTTACTAATGTGGGCGCGTGTAATGACGTTGCCTTGTCACGCGGATAACGCGGCCGTCTCTGAATCGGCTCCACTCTTTATCAGAGGACCCTCCCCGTACGGGAAGGTGAATTAGGATAAGGGACAGCCGCGTGATAAGCCGCGGACGTACTCTCTTCGGACGGCGTTTATCGCGGCGTATTTTCGGTCTTGGGGACTGGCCAAAAATCGATGCAAAAAGGTCTTGCGAAAAGTATACAATTTCTGCTTTCCGTTTGCAACGTTATTATATATATATATATAGTCCGCGGAGATATATCGTATTAATTCACGAAACTGCAGTTATCTTATTTTTCTGTTTTATTTCAACTCTGTATCGGCTCGTTCTAAACCTCTCTAGATTTTTTCTTTTCCGATTTTATAACTACTGGCTAACTTTCTGAACTTATTCGGTACATAAATAAATAAATAAATAAATAATTCGCTCACGAAGAGACACACGTATTTTGTAAAAAGTAAAGACTTTCCGCAAGACATCTTCCGCTGAATATATCGTGTTCTACACTATCTGTGGTTGATGCCATTAAAATCAGTACGGTTTCCTGTCAACGATGCATGAAGCTGGTAATTCGTGCATGTAAGCATTTCTGAACGTTTCTAATTCGACGAAATTTTTGAGACAAGTAAAGAAGATTTATACTATAATAAAATAGTACAAACGAACATATAATATTCATAAACATCGATAAATTAACTTGCAAACTTTTATCCTGCGCGCTTCTTTCCGAGATCGTAATAAATACTCGTTTCATTCCCAAATTCTCACAAGAACACGATCACAGAACAATATAACTGCGACCATCTTTCTAGGCCAAAAAAATCGCCTGACTTTTCTCGTCGATCCGCAGGTTCCTCAAGGCGAATCCGTACACCGTGGGCAGCGTCGAGTGACCGCCACCTGTATGGTCCCTCCAGAGCGTACCTGGTCCAAGGCTGCGCACAGCCTCGTCGACGAGACGGATCAAGCAGGTGAGAACGTCGATTTTTTATTTTTGCTGAACACAAAACTGATCGTGAGGCTGACGAAAGCTGTCACCATTCTCCGACCCGAGGAAAGTAACAGCCCTGGAGGGCTGCAGTCGTAGATAAAAGTGATATCTCGTTTATACTGAATCGAGCGTTCCTCTGTTTGCTCAGGGTGATGGATGCACCGTGGCGAACGGATCCCACGGGACGTCCAGTTTCGAGAGTCATCGAGCGCATGACGGGGCACGCCGGGGGACAGTTCCCAGCAAACAAGCGTGAATCTTTTGTTTCGAGTATGAGTAACCCTCGAGTCCCGTCGACGAGGGTTCCGGAGAGGCCCGAACCAGGTGCTTCGGCTGTCTTCGCGCAATTAGTCATCCTCGGTGGCCGTGTAACACGGAGGAATCGGATGACGAGAGAGTAAAAGAGAGGGTGACTGTACGCCGGTGGACTGATAAGTCGGACGCTTCTGGGAGAGTAAATTTCAACGGTGGCCGAGAACCGTCGAAGCCGGCGTGCGCGTCGCCAACGTGATAAGATAACGCGCGCACAGGCGAACTGCATTCCCGTTTAGACCCGTTTTATATTTTATTCACTGCTCTAGGGTAGATGGTACCGGTCGTGGCCGGTGCACCATCTCCGGCCGTCGCTATATTACTATTCATATTTTCTTCCTTGAACTTGGCTACGGTTCCTAGACGATCAGCAGAATGCAAATTGACAGCAAAAGGGATAAAACGGTAGAAAGCTGATGAAACAAGGAAAAACAGATTAGAAGTAAAATGAAGGAAATTGGAAGTAAAGCAGAGTACGAAGAATGAAAGAAAACGTAAAAGAACAACGCGAACAAAATTTCTTAGTCATATTGTTACTTTGAAATGTGGAAATGCGAGGTGTTTCGAACATTCTGCTGCATGCTAATCTCTTACGTTCTTTCCTATTGCAAATTTATGAGGTGGCCAGAAACGGCACTGAACGTAGCCGGATCTGCTGTACAAGCGGCCACGTACGGTGAAAAACAAGTATTTTGCTATTTTTGTACTGTGGTAATTCTCGAATCACTTTGTTACCCTGTTGCAAGTCTCTCGAACTGACGCTTAGATTTTCCACAAAAGTGGACAATTTGGGAAGAGGAGATGCGATTATTCGAGCCTTGTAGCTCGTTTTTTATAGTTAAGAGTCGAAGGTTATGCAAAGCTCGAATAATCGTATTTTCTCTTTCCAAATTATCCATTTTTGCGCACAATCTGAGCGTCAGTTAGGGAGACATTACTGTAGATATCAGAACCAACGGTATTAACTAATCTCTTGAAACTTGTACATTTCTTACGTGGTACAACACTTCGAGAGTATTTCCACCGTAATTCCTATAAATCCTTAGCGTGGCCACAACCGCTACATCTACCCTATACGTTGTAGTACACTGCTTCAGTATACTGCTATGTATAGCCCGCNTATTTTATTCACTGCTCTAGGGTAGATGGTACCGGTCGTGGCCGGTGCACCATCTCCGGCCGTCGCTATATTACTATTCATATTTTCTTCCTTGAACTTGGCTACGGTTCCTAGACGATCAGCAGAATGCAAATTGACAGCAAAAGGGATAAAACGGTAGAAAGCTGATGAAACAAGGAAAAACAGATTAGAAGTAAAATGAAGGAAATTGGAAGTAAAGCAGAGTACGAAGAATGAAAGAAAACGTAAAAGAACAACGCGAACAAAATTTCTTAGTCATATTGTTACTTTGAAATGTGGAAATGCGAGGTGTTTCGAACATTCTGCTGCATGCTAATCTCTTACGTTCTTTCCTATTGCAAATTTATGAGGTGGCCAGAAACGGCACTGAACGTAGCCGGATCTGCTGTACAAGCGGCCACGTACGGTGAAAAACAAGTATTTTGCTATTTTTGTACTGTGGTAATTCTCGAATCACTTTGTTACCCTGTTGCAAGTCTCTCGAACTGACGCTTAGATTTTCCACAAAAGTGGACAATTTGGGAAGAGGAGATGCGATTATTCGAGCCTTGTAGCTCGTTTTTTATAGTTAAGAGTCGAAGGTTATGCAAAGCTCGAATAATCGTATTTTCTCTTTCCAAATTATCCATTTTTGCGCACAATCTGAGCGTCAGTTAGGGAGACATTACTGTAGATATCAGAACCAACGGTATTAACTAATCTCTTGAAACTTGTACATTTCTTACGTGGTACAACACTTCGAGAGTATTTCCACCGTAATTCCTATAAATCCTTAGCGTGGCCACAACCGCTACATCTACCCTATACGTTGTAGTACACTGCTTCAGTATACTGCTATGTATAGCCCGCTTCGCTCGGGACAGGCTCGTAAGACGCCGCGTCCGTAGTCGCTCGGTTTATGGGTTCATTAATGCGTTGCATGTAAAGTCGAATATATAAGGAACTGCGAACGAAAAGCTCGACGAATTGTTTCCCGATCGACACCGCCGTTGTTCTTGCTTTCTATTTCTCCCTCGATCTCCCTCGATCATACGCGACGCGGCCTTAGTCATGCCGGCTGGGGCCATGACAAACAATAGTCCGTTCCATTAGCTGCGCCCTGAGAACCGATCAGCCAGCCATAACCAGGTGCTCGCCGAGTTCGGGCCCGGCTCGGGCCCCGTACCCGGCTTGACCACCGCATTCGTTGCGTCCGGAGAGAATCAATCACTCAGGCGAGCGCACGGACTCGATTCGGGCCCAGATACCCGACCCTCGATCGTCGAACCACCGAATATCTCAGATAGACATCTACCGGTTGTCTAACTGGTTCATCCACGAGCCACTAACAAGACGTTTCTCTCCTTTCCGCTTCGTACTCCTTCGTTGGCCCGCTCCGCGGACGGACCGGACCGCTCCTCTCTGTCTTCGTCCTTTCTATTCCTGCCGACGATTACTTTTCTCCTCCAATTTGTATATCTCCTCTTGTCGATCGTGGCGCAAATATGGGGCAAAACACGCAGAGCACCGACTTTAATTTACAATCGGGTTGGTTAAAGTCGTAGCGGCGAGAAACAAGAAGCGTCATTGTTCACCGACGCGTGTGTTGTTTACCGAACAGATTTATTGTTAACCCCTTGGCATACCTTCTTTTATTCGCAGTTACCGCGATTAGGAAATTTTCGATTGCAATGATTTCTTAGAAGGGAAAGGAAATCGATGCTTATCGTGTGCCTAAATTGACTCGAATGCTTAAATATTGACCACGAGAGATTCGAATTTTATTCCAATTTTAAGGGACAGAATAACGTTTAAGTCATAGGGAACCAATTCATAGGGATTTTATAATTTATTTCGCTCGTCTTTTTAGCATTTCGGCAGATACGGATCACATCTTAAGACACGAGCCGACATTTGCGAAAACGTAAGCGCCACTGTGACCCCGACGCGCTCGATTCATAGTGAATCGATATCACAGATAATGCCGTATTTTTCTCCTCGAGGACGCGTAAACTGCGGACTATCGGAGAGATCCTCTACTTCGATGGCACGATAGGCATATGGTGGTTGGAGGCTAGGCCTTGATACGGCTCAAGGTTGAAAATCAGTGGGATCCATGGTTGCGGAGCTAATTCGCCGCGAGTTTACGACCGCGGTAATGATTTAAGGCTCGAGTAAACGAGTTTTATTTCTGATCCGTATGTATCTCTACCAGCCGTCGGGAGATTACGTGCCCGACGATTGTCGACGAGGGTCCCGCCTTTGTCCTGCGCCGTTATCTTCCGCCTAATAAGAAGACATCGGCGGCGGATCGCCTCGGGAATACCTCCTCCGCGGCGTCGTAAAATTTGATCGCTGTCGTTCTTCGGTCGTAATATCGGTAACGCGACTCCGTCAGAGGCATATTTCATTTGGCGAAGTGTTTGCGAACGGCGGTCGACTCTGCCGCGCGTCACACCGGATCGGATTATCCTGTTCGAGGGGGAGGCGTACGGGGCCTCGGAAGGGGGCAACGATGCATTACCCCCGCGAGCAAGAAATAAGCAAAAATAGGATGACTCGCCGTGGCGCCAACGAGTTAATAGCTAATTGGCTAATGCCCGGCTAAAAATATACGCGGCGTGCCGCCGACTTTGAAACGCTCCTATTCAAAGTTATCGGGCTCGGCTTCCACGGAGCGAGATCGATGGACCCGGGTTTTTGCGTTTTCGAAAGAATCCGCCGGCGAATGGAGGAGGGGCACGGTGACTCCGGGAAAGGAAAAGAAAGAACGAGGTTCCGGAGATGATTACATATACGGGCCGCGGACGAGACACGCGGCAACCCCTTTCGCGGAATCCACTTAGACACCGACGAATTAGCCGAGCGGACTTAATACGCGTCTCCTCACCTGTTATATTCGCGTCACCGCAACCGGTCGATCCAGGTGGTGATCTCTGGCCGTCGGCCGGCTGATCCGCCGTGAAAGAGGACCGGGGGGAAGGGCCAACGAGAGCCACGCGTATGCATAATAAGGCCGGCGAATGGGGAAACCGATTATCGGGACAAAGGGTGACGATTTACCTCGTCGATCTGCTGCTCGAGCGCGTCCACGCTTCCGGCCGATTTTCCCTGATCCGCGGCTGAACGTTTCGATCGTTGACGATGATCGCTCGCTGAAAGCGGCCGTGCCTTCGCGTGCTAGCGGGGGTAAGAAGCGCAGGGATTCGTACCGCGATGAAAAATACCGGTAATTTTCGGTTGTCCCTTCGTAATCCTTATGGAAACCGGAATCCAGCTATACCGGTGTATTTACTAGTAATTACCCGTCATTTTTCTGGCTTATGGACTTCTTATAACTTTCCAGATTCCCTTGAACTCGGTGGGAGGCGCACCCCATAACGTAACACAGGTTTCTCGCTGCCGGGTTAAAAATACCCGCATTCGAAATATTAAAAGCCGTGGCTTTAGAATATTCTTTCTTCGCTGTGTAATTTTTATATTCGGGTACGGTGTTTCGAAACGCGAGCAAAATTAATTTGAAATAAATATAAGTTACAAAATCTGTGTCGAACCCTTTTCTAAAGTCATGATAGAAACACACGAACAGTTTTGCCAATTTTACTTGGTCACTTTTGCGATAATTTTTACCGAACGGCGCCTGCTGTCGAGTTAAGCAGAAGTCAACGGCCGGTATTATATTTTTATCGTTATTATATTCACTGGACTTATATAATATGCCTTGTAAAAGCACGATTATATAACAAGAGCCTGGATACGCATCGTTTTAATCTTTAATGACTCCTACCCGAACGGAATGCCAAAATACTGTCGGTATTCATTTCGGTTTTTGCTAGTACAATAAATTCTCTCTAATTGACGCTCAGCTTGTACACAAAAATGGACGATTCGAGAAGGGGAGGATACGATTATTCGAGTCTTGCGGCCCGTTTTTTATAGTTGTCGACAATCGGTAACTATAAAAACGAGCCGTAAAGCTCGAATAATCGTATCTCCTCTTCTTAAATTGTTCATTTTTGTTTGCTGGCTCAATTAGGGAGAATATACTGTATATCGGTTTCGTTATTATATCGGTTACGGTATTATATCGTTTTCTGCGTTATATCGTTTTTTGTATTATATCGGTTTCGGTGGAGCTTCGCCTGGAATAATACCGGTATCAAAATCATACCGGTATAAAGTGGCTGAAGAAGTGGCCGCGGGACGACATAGCGCACGACAAAGCTAAAAAGGAGACCGGTCGACGGGAGAAGGGCTGACGATCGGTGGAAGCAAGCTGCCATGCCGCCTCTTTACATCGTCGTCCCTCTTCTTCCGTTCAGGACTCACGAAGCGTGCTCGAGCGTGCTCGCGCGCGCGCCTCGCCAAGTACAACAGCCGGTTCTGTGTGTTTCCGTGTCCCCGTCTGTGCGTCGTCCCGCGCTTGTGTGCGTACTGGCTGGTCACGAGTGTGCGTGCAACATGCCCCGCCACAGACATTCACCCACACAGACGCGCCGTCGTGGCGTCTCCGCCTCGGGGCTCAGGCGCCACTGTCTCCCTTCTCTCTGTCCCTCGTTTCCCTCGCCGACCGCCCATTTCCCGGCGTCGATCCGCGCCACTCAACCTTTTACCAACACACGAGCACACCCGGCCTGCCCGCATACTACGTTCTGGTACAGTGGCTGCCATTAACGTAAGTGGCACACAGGCCATGTGTGCTCTTGATCCTCTCCTAACCGATCGAATTGGTTCGATGACGATCCCATGAAGATCGATGATGCGCCCCGAGCCGCGAGGATCCCGCGACACCGCGACAGAGGACACCCGCGCGAGGATCACAGCCGATACGCCGCCGTCGCCGCGCTTATGGGGGCCAAATGTGCTCCAGAAAGAACCGTGGTGCCGAAGCTCACTTAGGGTTAGCCTGGCGTTTCGATGTTCCTCGGTTCACTTGGCGTAGATGTGCACACTCTATCTTCCAGCCTTTTCAAATTCGTCCGCAAAACTTTGCTGCTTTTCTCGGTTCCTGTTAAGCCCTGTTAAATCCAGGATTGCATCCATCGACGATCACTGTTCATCGTAGCTATCTTGCATGTTATTCCAAACCTATTAACCTGCAGCAGTTCAGTAAACAGTACACAGTAATCTAGTAGCGTATGTGTAACATTTACAAAAAATCGATCTACACTGGCACCCCAATCTATCAGGAAATCCATCCTACTAGTCTCAGTAACTGGTCCAAAATTTTGCTATCGACCTAGGTGGACCAGTTACTGAGACTAGTGGAATTGATTTTCGAGATTTTTGGATCTGTTTGGAAATCCATCCTACTAGTCTCAGTAACTGGTCCCCCTAGGTCGATAGCAAAATTTTGGACCAGTTACTGAGACTAGT